TCCTGTGTGATATGTGAAGAGCTGGGAACTGAAGCCAGTCTGTCAAAGGTTGGTGAAACCCTGTGTCTTCTCACAGCCTTAAACACTAGGTGCCCCACCTCTGGAAACCTTCACAATCAGGTTTGACAGGGCTTTGAGCAACTTGATCTAGTTGAAGATGTCCCTGCTTATTGAAGAGGAGTTGGAATGGATGGACTTTAAAGATCCCCTCCAGCCCAAACTGGAATTTCTTCTGTGATTCTATGATAATGAAAGACCTGTATAGTTAAGACCAGCTCTGTTGCTGGTGTACAGTGTCAAAAATTTGGATTTATGGCCAGCTTGAGATCCTGTCTAGTCACAGAGCCAATCCCTACCCTCAACCAGAAGTAGTAATTTTATTGAAAGATAGTGTAGCTACAGTGTGAAGTGATTGATCATGAACATCCATGAAAGGTGCCATGCAGCCTCAGAGGCTGTATCCAAGAAAGGCAGATTGCCTATGACATTTGAGAGCTGAGCAGAGATGACTTCAGATCAGAAATAAATGGAAGTTTAACTATTTTATTGGTGACCAAAGGACTGCTGCTGAGAAGTGAAACATTAACAGCAGGGTGAAAGAGAGCTGGGATTGCTCAACAAGGTTCATCTTCAGGCACGACTGAGCTGGGGTCATCCAAGGCACGGGAAGCGGAATGGCAGAGGGGGACTGCACACCACAGTCTGCAAAGGAAGCCCAAGCTGGTGAGGAAGTTTTTAAAGATTTCTTCTTGCTGATAGTAGGGGAAACTGAAGGCAAAAAGGCACAAGGAGGGATGACAAGTTTCTCTGATTGTTAGAGGTTAACTTGTGACGAGATGACAGTTCTTAAATGCAGATTAGGTGCTTGATAGTGGTATTAATCTAAATGCCTTCACAATTTTGAGTCTGTAATAGCTGGTGAATAGAGGAGAGATGTAGGTTTGAAGGCTTCTGGCATATTTTCCTGGTTGTTCAAATGATTTGATACATCATTTTCTTAAATTACTTTGAAGTTTAGGAGAAGTCTGCAGGCAATGGAAACCACTCTTGATCTGTATAAATCAGTTAAGCACTGCTTTTTCTTGTGATCAAAGAATTGGAAAAAATAAGCCAGAAGAGACCTCCAGAGGTTATCACATCCTTCCAGGGTCTGGTCACCAAGCCCAAAGTGTTGCTGCCACACATTCATTAGTTTCTTAAAACCTTATCTCACAAAGAAAAAAGAGGAGAGAAATACATATATGGTAAAAGGGCTATAAAAGTATGGCCAGTGTATATGAATTATAAATAAGACTCATTATTAAAAGACAAGTGTGGCTGAGCTGAAAATTAGGAAGGGATTGTACCACGAGATGAATGCAGGTAAAAATGAAGAGATTAGTTGAGTATAAACAGGATAAGGTGCACAGTACTGCAGCAGGGAGTAGGGAGAATGTGAGGATTGTAAGAGCGATGTGAAAATGCAGATTCTCTTTCTGAGGATTTGGGAACCCGAAAAAAATTAAATTATGAACCAAAAGTCATAGCAAAATGTATTCATTTTAATGAATTTCTGCCTATGCACGGCATCTGGTAGCTGAATATAACATTTAAGCATGAATCATCCTACAGACTCTCCAGTTGCATAAAGGATAATTCAGAAGAGAGGAGATCTTACAGAAAGCAGTCCTTGTTTTCATACTTATCAGGTGAGGTTGTTTGGCACAAGATTTTCACAGAAACTCAGGAGGGCACCTCATCCATATGCCTGCTCTGGGACAGGACCTGATATTTATGTAGTCCCTAATGCATTCTTATATAACAGACATCATGGGCTGTCTGAACCCTGCAGGCCGAGCCACACCATCTCTGTTCCAATGCTTATCTGTCCTCACTGAAAGCCAAATTGGAAAAAGGAGCCCCAAATATTATTTACTGAAAAAAGTCAATTATTTCTCTCATCCTCAACAAAAATGGATTATAGTTCGTCTCTCTGGCTGTTTTTCCTGTCAATGGGAAGGAGTAGCGTTTGGTATTTTTCTTTCCCAAATTTCATCATTTTCATTCCAGAGCAATAAAATGGTTTCTCCCATTTTGCAACACCATTTTGGAATCATACTCAGTTGTCCTCCAGGCTTCTTCACCCTGATTTCGAGCACAAACAAGAACACCATGCTGGCTGTGCTGAAGTTTTCTTTGCTCATGGAAAAGCTGAACTCCCGCATGTTTCATGCTTTCCTAATCTGATGGAAAATCATTGATATTCTTAGAGAGATTTCCCAATTGTCTGCTATTATGGGCATTTCATATGGACCCTATTTCCTTGTGAGAGATCAGAGACATGAGAGATCAGAGTTATGATATATCACATACAGAGCTGCTCTAGCTGTTACTCCACTTACCAAAGAATAAAACAGTGTGGTTTTAAAGCATTTTTTCCAATCTGAAATGGCTGTTTTGTAATCCTTATTCTCCTTTTGGTGCTTAGAAGGGATTATCTGATCAAGTATCTCTCTCACTATGGAGGAACACTCCTGGAGGAACAATCTGCTTTTTTAAAGGCAGTGGTGATGCTTGTTCTGCTTTTACCCTTCACAAGGGAAGTGGCTCAATATGGTATTCAACACTTGAAGGTGAATTTCATCAGGCTCTGATGATCTGAGCACATTTAAGATATCCAAATATTATTTAGGCAGTTTTTTGTCTCATTTCACACATACTCCTGCTGGTTCATTTCAAAGGTGTTGCATACCTTTTTGCAATTTATTTTTTTAGAGAAAATAACAAAAAGGACACAAGTTTCCTGGCTTCTCTGGATGAGCTTTTGTTTACTTGTTTTCTGGTTTAAATAACAACTTTTCATTTTCCTTCCTCTTTCTCCAATATTGACAGCATTTCAAACACTTTTTCTTATTGCCTTTTATGTCCCCCTTCCTAGCTGCAGTTTATTTTGTGCCTTAGCTTTGCAGGCACACCTCTACTGCTCCGTGTTTGATCTGTTTGTCTATACTTGTCTTCAAAATGCCACCTTATTTCCATTTGTGGTACAATTCCTTCCCGATTTTCAGTCCAGTTGCACAGGTCTCCTTCTATCAAGTATTAGTCTGTATTTGTATCCGAGGTGCTTGCAAATTTATTCTCCTAAACTTGTTTTTACTTTTTGCTCCAAGTAAACATTTATTGCCAGACATTTGAATTCCTTTTCTTCCTTTCCGTCTGAGAAGACCTTCTGGCAGCTAATGGCCTGAACAGCTCTGCAGTGTATTAGACAAGTAGTATGTTAATCCTACTGACTGATAGGGATTTTCATGCCAGTATTAAAAAAAAGTCATTTAGCTCATGTGATGCATGGGGCTGTATACACACAGAGGAAATATAGCTGCAGGAGGCTGAAAACATTAATGCATCACACTGCAGCAGCGTGGGAGTGCTGTGCAAGGGATAGTGAAACCTTTCCTGTCTTTCATTTGTATTATTCCTTTAATAACTCTGCTGCTGTGTTTGCTCTGCTTGCCTGTGTATGGCAGAATACAGCAGGTTTCTACTGGGAGCTGTAGAGAAATACCTGGGGCATGAGATGCCAGCAGAGGGCTCAGAAATATTTCTGCTGCCTCTAGCAAGGGGTCAGACTTACAGGACATGAGTACTTGCCAGCCTGGTGTGTAGGAACAGGACCCATGTGAACAAAACCTCTTCTGCCCCCAACACTGGGTCTGCTTTTGAGCACTTGTGCCCATGAAAAAGGCTTGATAAAGCTGAGCTCCATGGAGGCTGCACCCAGGTAAAAGCAATGCTGTGCATGTGTGCAGGTCACTGGGTGGGCTGAAGACAAGGAGCTGGGTTGTGGCAGGACAGAGGAGGTATACCAAACTGTTGTTTTGCCACTGCTGTAGAAGAAAAAAATAACATGGAAGGGGTAGAACTTTCTGGCACCATCTGGAGTTTGGCCTTCAAGTCAGCTGCCCAGCTGACCCCATGTTTAGCTGCCCAGTTAGAGTGAAACGGAATCTCTGGGGATTTTTAGAGGAATCAATGCCAATGTGGATAGTAAGTATATGGATGGAATGTGGATAGTAAGTATACTTCCAACGTGCAGTCCATCACATCTGATTCCCTTGTGCAAGTGTTCTCCATGTCTTGTTAGCAATAACTGAAGCCAGATTAAGGATCTGTGGTGTGGCCAGAGGCCTCTTTCCTGGTTCGTTAGCTGCAAACCTGGTTCTGTGATAACAAAGCACTATCAGCAACTCAGTACTTGCACTAAGGATGAGTTTATGCAGACTCCTTGTACCAGCTGTGGATTCTGGGTGTGGTCTGTGCATTGCTGATAAGAGAAAGGAGAAATATTTCGGAAAATTCTTTTAACACTTGCCTTTTAAAGAAGCCAAGTGTAAGAGAAAGAAAAAACCTCTGCACTGTGCTGAGGGTACAGCAGAGCCACAAGCATTGAGGATAGTTTATGGGAAGGTTGTGAGTTTTGCTCTTAAATTGCAACTGATGTTGGAAGAATACTGATGAAGAGCTCCACTGTTGCCATGGGAAGGGCATGGAAGGAGGGACAACAGTGTACCTGCAGGGAGCTGAGCCCACATAGCTGCAGGGGGAATCCAGGGACTCCCAGCATAGATAGGCTGTATTTGTTACATATGAAGCCCCAAAGTGATCTTCTGGATAATAGAAAGTAGAGAGAGGGATTGGGGCTACTCCTGGGTGCTGGCTGTGCCCCCTTGATTAAACTGTCCCATGGGAAAAAGCAAGGTCATTCTAGGGAGTTGGTGTGGGAATGAACCCTGGGTCACTTCACTCCTGCAGTAGCAAAGAAATGATTTAATACAATGCAGGCATCTGTGACATCCAGCATCCAAGGGTTTGGTGTGATGAGCATTTTAGTAGTTGTGTCTTGGAATGTGTGGCTTTCCAGTGAAATGAGATCCCTGCAGAGTAAACCTGTCATTACCACACTGGGAGGGAGATGCACGCTATGCTGCTAAATCCGCAGGCTGTAGGTGTATCCGGGACCTGGGATTTTTATTCAGCTCACATCTGTGCAGCATCCAGCACCGTGCTGGGCTGGTGCACGTACAATGGCTGGGGGCATGCCAAACAACCGGGAGGGGTGTGCCACAAAGTGCTGACAGCCCCAACCTGTGACTGATTCAGACTGTTTTCCCTGACTCCCCTTGAACTCTGAAGTTGTCTTTCCTGGTAGCATCTCCCTCCCCTTTCTGCCCTGGCTGCACAAATGTGCTCAATTAGGGTTAACTCAAACTGAATCAAACTTCGTGCCTGAGGTTGGAAATCTTCCCAGTCAACTCACCACAGCCACATAGCATGGTGGGAGACAAGGCGAGAGGGGAGATGAACGCTTTTCAGAGAAATGAATCCAAGGAAACTTTGTTCACTTTTATTTCTGCAGGAGATGATCCCCCCAAAGGAGATTTCTCTCTTCAGAAAAAATCCCCGGTAAGTGTTACTGCTGGTTTTCTTTGCTTAGCTTTCTGCTTAGCTTGTTTTAAACATTGCAAGATCTCTCTGTTCTCTCCTCTGTTATGCTCTGGCTAGAGACAAACACTCTTTCTTGCAAAGGGTTGAAATAAGCTTTAACAACTCAAGGCAAAAATCCCTCCACTAACCTGATTAAGTTAAGAAAGTGCAGTTTAAAGGGAAAACACAAACTGTCTGAATGTTTGGGGAAAAGAGTGAGCTTTTTTGTTGCCTTTTTCCTGAACACTACTTTCCTTGTGGAAAAGAACTTGGATCTCTGAAGTGGAAGGGGCTGTTGTGCATAAGAGGGAGGGAGCTGCACTCTGTTTAGTTTAATGAAACCCACCAAGGAAGGGTACCCAGATGCTGAAAAGCAGAAGGAAGGACAGGAATTGAGGACAGGCCGCTGGTGAGTGTTACAGAGCCCAACTGTAGTGCCAGAGCCTTGGGTTTTCATCTTTGGCTCTGATTTAAAGCCTGATTGAGGTGAATGTGTTGCTGCCTTGCAGCTTTGATATTTGTACAGGTTTTCAGGCTAATTCTTGTTGTGTGGTTGACCCCTAAAAACTGTTCACCGCATAAGATTCAGGAAGAATTTGGCTTATATTGCAGCTGCTTTGACTTGCAGGATAATATGTAATACTTGGTCTTAAAACTCACAGTCATGTCATTAGCAAGCCAACTATTTAACTCAATTTTAATTACTGTGTAGACATTAACTATTGGATATCCAGAACTCCTGGGAAATATTAATCTTTATCCCATTTTGCCATTAGTCAGCAAGAAGGAGAGCTGAAAACAAACGTCTCCTGTAGTGGGTACTTTAAATGAACTTTCTTTTTTCCAAAGACACAGTCTATCAACTTCCACAGTATCTTTAAGAGATCCATAATCCCACAGATCCCAGGCTTGCTGTGGCACTGCACACTATCTGTGTGTTCATGAATCCAGGCTTAACCTCTTTGCTTTTGCTGGGGCTCTGCTGAGCACAGTCCTCTGTGAAAGCGAGCAAACTGCATCTGGCTCTCCGCATGGATGAAAGCTTCCCACTTTTGGATGTCCAGGCAGGCCACAGGAAGGTCAGTGATACAGTGGAGAGAATACATGAGGGTTTCTGCATGTGCTGATGCCACCTCATGACACACAAGCCAGATGGAAGTACCCCTGCTTGTAAGTTGTTGCTCTGTGTTTGTAAGCACTTACTTAGGGTCGTGGCTCAGGCACTTGGGAAAGTTTAGCTGGGAAGTCACTTCCCCCTGCTCTCCTTTCCATCCTTGCCCCTGCTTGTCTGTAGGAGGTGCCATTCCAGAGCAGAAGTGGCTGAAATGAGTCACTGCACCTTAAACCGGTGCAGATAAATCCACTGGGACTGGTGCACTGGGTGTGGAGGGGTGAGTTCAGGCAGCAGAGCTCCAGCCACTAGTCCACGTGATTTGGACAGTCACTCTCTGCACCTCCACCAAACGGTATTAAATGCTATGAGTATGTATAGTGAGGTCTGGGAAGGAGAGGAAGAAAAAAATCCCTGTTGTACAATTTTACTTCCAATTTCCTAAAACGCCTCCCAGCACCCACACGAAGTATAATCTGCCTCTTCTGGATTCTCTTCTTTTATTATGAAAAACTTGTTGGAGAAAAATATTCTGTGTGTGCATATGGTTGTGTGTGTGTGCATTTACAGCTCATATATGCCACCATTTTTAGGCTAATCTAAAAGCAGAGGCCCCAGTGCAGTTTCCAAGGGGGCCCACTCTTTCTTACAAGCCATACTGCTGAGCACAATGGTTTCAGAGTAAATCATAAATTAAATGAATAATTATGTGTTTACTTTAGTAAAGCAAAAAGGTCATGAGTTTCTTATAAAAAGGCAGCCCATATTTAGTGAGAAAAATATATACATATATTATACATGAAAATATTTGTTTTTAGAGGGCTAATTAATGGAAAGGAAGGGGGAGGTGGGAGTTGTAGAGTTTTGATTTTTTACAATCAGTCTGTTTTGTTGCTCTTTCAAAATGTTGAGGAAGACAACATCATTAAGCTAGACTCTTCTAAATTTGCTGCCATTGCTTTGGGAATCCAAATAAGCTAAGGTCCCTTGGTGGTGAAAGAAACCTGGATAAACACATCTATTTTGGTATTGTATTTGCATTTGGGCCTCTGGGAAGAAATACAGGAATTCATTATTTCTGACATGAGGCACAGAAATACATGTGAAGAGTTCATCTCACTTCACTGGCCCATACCATGCCTGTTTAAATCTATAAGTAAAATTGCATCTGTTAATATCACACTCCCCCAAATTCCTCACCAAATCCTTGGCCAGCCCCTCTCTCCTGCTAATTGGCAGAGGCTGGGCAGTGCTGTGAAAACCTGCTTTCCTGTTGCGAGGCAGTGGAGCTACTAAGCAGCTGGAAGCTGAAAGCTGCTTAGCTCAGACCACTGTGGGGTAGCAAGAGGGACAGAGGCCCACACAAGGTCGTGCCAAGACTCATCTGTTTAATGCCTTGTATTTCACTGGGGAAGTGCTGATGTTAGCACTTGGAGTAAAGTGAGGATGGAGTAAAGTCAGGCTCAGAGAAAGAGTGGCCACGCTTAGACAGGTTTGACAGTCCCATCACTGTGTTTTTTTAAAGTTCTGATTAATAAATTGAATTATCCATAGCTATGCCAGCAATCTTGGAATATGAAATGGATGCCATGCCTGAGGGAGTGCTGGACAGAGGATTGATGTTCTGCTTCACTGAGTGATGGCACAGCTCAGCACAAGTAAGAAGCAGAGATTGAGAGAGGTAGCAGCTCTCTTCTTACATAGAAGCAGACAGCAGATCCCTGGGGTCTCCCAGTTTTTAAAGCAAGGTCTGGTACTAGAAGAGGGAGCAGTTTTGGGGCAGGGTGGCAGCTTTACAGGAAGTGCAGAAGGAAAGGCATCCAAAGGTGTTTTTTTGATCTCAGTGACTTTTTAGCATTGCAGTTGAGAGTTGGTAGCACCCTTCCAGTGGAGTTCCTGGAGCTACAAGCATGGTGGGCTGCTGACAGCTCACAAATCCCCATGACAGTCCTTACTGGGCCCATATCCAGGCTGATTCACTGGGGAGCCTTAATCAAAGCAAGAGTAGTGTGGGGACCGCTCTCTCCTTTGAGTCCAGCTCACAGGCCAGTCAAGCAGCTGTGGGCACTTGGTTTTTGGACTGGACTCTTCTCCACCATCCAGACACTGTAGGAGTATGTTGCTGGGGTGAAGGCTTTGACATTGGATATGTTCTTGTTTGTCTCCCACAGAAACTCTGTGGCTCCAACTACCCCCTGAGCATTGCCTTCATTGTGGTGAACGAGTTCTGCGAGCGCTTCTCCTACTATGGCATGAGAGGTATGTGGCCTGTGTCTGGAGAGTGACTTTCCCATCCTGAGGTCTTTACACAAACTGGATTGGTGTTTCTGAGCTGTGCTGTGTGTAGTATCAGCTGTCTTTCAAAGTTAATTGACATTTTGGAATGCGTATATGAACAGTGTACCCTAACATTGTTGCTATATCTAAGATGAGAAGAAGTTGGGACTGGAGGGCTCCAAATGTACCTTCCAGTCTAAATTATTATACAGTTCTCTATATGAAACCTGATTTTGGTGTCTTTCATAGTTGATGTGCAATCAGTGTGTTTGGGAATTGAATCTTACAGGCACCTAATCTGCAAATAGAAAATGTCCATAAACAGAACTACAGGTTAGGGTAAGATAAGCTAGAAAATATGTTTTTCAGTTTAACATAAATGTTTATGAGCAAAGGATGTCAGATACTCATATATCTCATTTTAGCTTCTCCTGTGTCAGAGATTATGAGGAACAGGTCTGGAAGCACAAATCTTTCCACAGCACTTCTCAGTTGCTAGACCAATCAGTAGTTTTCTTGCCATCGTGATCCTGCTTACCTGCAGATATACACATTAATTATCTGATACGATTTTTTTGTTTGTTTTCTTTTAGCTGTCCTGACACTGTATTTCTTAAGCTTCTTCCACTGGGATGAGAATCTCTCCACTGCTGTGTACCATGCCTTTTCTGCATTGTGTTATTTCACACCTGTCATCGGAGCCATCATGGCAGACTCATGGCTGGGGAAATACAAGTAAGTGAAGACATGTCTCTAATTCAGTCAGCATGCATCCATGCCATGCAGCCTGTGCAAGGACAGTGCTGTGTGTGCTCCCAGTTTTGAGCTAGCTCAGACTGCAGCAAAGACACACTTGTGAAGGTCAACTCCTCTCTGTTAACAGAGCTCATCTGTTTGCTCATGCTGTTCTGTGCTTGTCTAACACCCAAAGACCAATAGGCAACAAAGTTGAGACAAACAAAATGTTACAATAAACCTTTTCCACCACTGTCTTTCCATACCTGACTTCAGGAAGCTGTGGTGTAGGACAATTAACCTTGTTTGCTAAGGTCTGCTTCTGAGAAGGATTCAAAGATAGTGAGGAAGCAATGTCATCATGTAGATCTCACAGATTCAGATGAAGTGTCATTAACTGTAATGAACTTACACTTCTCACAGTATAGGTAATGTGCCAGCACACCTACTTTTATGCCCGAGAAACCTGTTTTCTCTCAAATCATCTCCATCAGCACATAACCAGGTAAACTCTTCCTAAGTAAGAGTCCTTAGGCAGTCTTCCCTTCTGATGATAAGTTGTGTAGCCATCATCTACCCTGGAGTGGTGATGAGCAGCTGTCAGGGTGATGAAGTGGAGCTGAACTCTTCTCTCGTGGACTAAGCCTACCTGGCAGAAGAGTCTAAATAGGAAATAAACAGCTGCCATATGCCTATCCAGAAGAAAGTTCTTAAGGAGCTATCAGTGTCCTTTTTTCTCTCTGCTCAGTTTTAGTCATCTTCTTGTCCCTTTGAATGAAAAAAATAACAGTGGGGCTTTATTAAATTCATTATTTAAGGTCACCTAGCAATGTTCATTGGTATTTGAGGATGTCTATCTTGCAGCATGATGTTGTGAGAACAGATGCTCGTGTGTTAGGCAAGAGACTTTCCTTGGAGTAACCCCTATAATTTAATGGGAAGTGGCTTTTGCTGGACCTTGGCCAATATAACAGATTAGAGGGGCTTTTAGGAACGATCTGATGTGGTGCTAAATTAGCTATTGCAACCGGGGTTTGAATGCATCAGGGACCTCTTCCATGCTCAAAGCTCATAGGACTTCTTCTAGTGTTTCTGTCCTTACAAGTCCTTTGATTCTCTCTGTATGTGTCTTCAGCACATGAATACATAGATTTCTCTTAATCTAGAAGGTGGTGAAGGAATAGGACACACTCAAGAGTCTGATTATTCTGCTCACATTTCCTTTTCTCCCTCACCAACGCATGGGAGGCAGATAGATGAGCTCAGTCTTTCAGAGATACTTGGGACCCAAAACAGACTTATAATGAGGAAACAACACTCCTAATTCAGGTTTGTTGGTTAGGTGGGTTGAATGTGGGCAACAGTCTCTAGACATCCCTTCCAGTCAAGGGATTCACTTATGCCCATCCTACAAAATGCCAATTATTAGAAATCCGGAAAGTGAGTTGGACATGAACAGTGCTCTTTTCTTTGCAGTCTTCCATGCATGACAAGACTGGAACACTTTTCATTTATTCTGCTCAGTAATGTCTATAAGTAAAGCAGGGGTTATCCTTCCTTATCTGAATCCATTTGCATATTCCTTCTAGTATCCTCAGTGTTGACATGAAGGAATTCGAGCTGCCCCTGTACCACTGGTAGAACAAACCAGTTCCTTGTGTGTCTGCTGAGTAGAGCTGCCATATTAGGGCACATGGGCACACTCTGTTTTCAGATTGTACATCACCCTGCACCTTCAGTCACTGCTGTTTGCTTTCCTCACAGGACGATCATCTACCTCTCCATTGTGTATGTTGTTGGCCATTTGATAAAGTCAGTCGGTGCCATTCCATCCCTGGGCAACCAGGCAGTTCATGTGTAAGTAGCCCTTGAAGCCACAGTGCTGTAGCAGTTTGTGATTGTAGTTAGTTTACCCAAGCCTGTAACTTGTTTCATCCCCATTAAGACAGCATTTTGGGGGCTGTGCATGGATTACTTTCATGATGGAAGGGTTAGGAATGTCTGAGTAAGAGCAGAAGGGTGGATCTAGTGTGTGAACATGCCAGATGAATTTGGAAATCACCACACAGACTCTAACCCCTTCCACACAAGCACTGGGGATAACCCCTCTCTGCTATACCATGCTACTGGTTTGGTCTCCTCCATCCTACTGCCTGCACCAAGTTTCTTCCTCCCTCATTTCATCAGCACAGCTGCCCAGCTCAGCAGGTTCCCCCATGTGCATGGGAACACAAAACTGAAATACATTTTCTGATGACAAGGGAAGGGTCTGTCTCTTCCACAGGATACAACCCTCTAGATTCTGAACTGATAGGCTTGTCAGAGTAGTGTCTCTGAAACCACCAAGCTGGTTTTGTCTGTGTGGTCATGGCTCAAAAAAAATGCACATGCAGGCAGGAGCACATGTTTACAGAACAGTTTTCTTTTGTCCCAGACCCGGCCTGTTCTGATACTCTTGCTCCCTAGAGACATAATCTGTCAGACCAACAATGGTATTTTGAAAACCACTGGGAAGTAGAAAGCACACAAGAATGAGCTTAATTCGAACAGTTTGTGTGCTCTTACCCAGGCTACAAGGCTGCAAAAAGTACTCTCCTTTTTCTTTTTTTTTCTTTTTCTCAATTGATCTCTGACAGCTTTTGTTGTCGTATGAGTAAAAATAATTCCACAGATCTTTGATCTCCAATATGTCCATTAGACCTCAGAACAACAAGAAACTGACAAAACCAGTTTGGCTAATTGACTGGTATGGAATGCAGAAATTGGGATAATTAATTTGTTTTTCAAATTATTTAGATAGTTAATTTGTTTGTTTATCTGGCTTATCATCATTACCCGTGTGCAAAAGACAATGTTAGCAGAGGAATCATGGTTGGGTGACACTAAAATGCTCTCATAAGCTCTGTAAAGGTTTTGCAATGGTGATATTTTTGTTCTTGCACGAAGGGTCCTCTCTATGGTTGGTCTGTTTTTGATCGCCCTTGGAACAGGAGGTATCAAGCCCTGTGTCTCTGCATTTGGTGGGGACCAGTTCGAAGAGGAACATGTAAGACTTCCTTTCTTTCCTAAAATCTGCAATGTCTGCTTACTTTGTGAGGACATTTATGTGATCAAAATCCTGTTATGCTAGAATAAGGACCAGTTTTCTGGAAAAGACATAGTAAGACATGAAGTAGGATGGTTTGCATAAGACTTGAGAGACTCTAGATGCTTCAGAAAGGCAAAATGACAGCAGAACAGGATTGATACTGGAAAGGACAGGTCATAATTGCATAAAATCATCTAAATGTTAATTGGACATCAGAGTAGTTGAAAAATCCTGGCTTGCATATCACAGAACTGTATATATCATGGATCAGCTTAACAGGGATGACTATAATGCACTGCAGTGGAATATGGCAAATGAAAGAAAAGACTATATCACCAGCCTATGCTTCTGTGGGATTTTTTTCCTCAAATCAGTCATAGCCCGTCTCTTAGATGTTGTTCAGATAGAACTGTAGGAAATTCGAGCCTTCTGCAAGTAATGCCAGAATGTTTTCTGGGCATTCCATAATGGAGAGTTCTGAAGAGTTGAGAAAATGTTTCTGCTTAGCCATGTTTGTGCTCTGTATCCTTCGAATTGCAGTCCAGGTGCTGCTTTGTGTCCTCATTCCCTGTCATGAGTGCTTAGCCCCTCATCTGCACTAATCTCAAACTCCCATTATTCAGCACAGGGGCTCAACCAGGGATGAGGTAGTGCTTAAGGAAGCAAAGCAGGTCAGGAAGTGCTAATCCTCAAGCAAAATGCAATTGACTTCAAGTTAAATAGATTTATGTTGACCTAACACATAAATAAAAATTTCTATTTTCTTAATTACAAGTACTCAAATCAGAAATTGTGTGCATGGCATAAGTCCATTGTGTGCATGGCATAAGTCTTCAAATCTGTAGAAAGCCACTGCTACAAAAAAGAAAATAAATGTCGGGGTCTGTGGTGAATAGGCTTAAACTCAGGGAGGATTGTTTAGGACTGACAGTGTGAAAATTTTTTCTAGAAATAGATCTAGAGAAATACTGGAAAATACTAGGGCCTTTGGGAGATGGAAATTCTCATCAATGGAGGCATTAAAGAAGGACATTAGACTAATAGTGTATCAGAAAAAGCACTGGTAAAGTTGGGTAAGAGTTGGCCCCTTGGACAAGGAACTCAGTAGGGCAGTTTTCTCCTGGTCTTTTGCAATGCCCCAATATGAAGTCAACATGTAATGAAATAATATAGGCTAAATTTATAATTTTGGGAAGAGTTGTGCTTTCTGCATGTGAACTGAGTGCTGCTGAAGTGATGACGCTTGCAATTACTAAGAAGTAACAAAGCATGAGATGTTCTGTGGTCACTTGTCCAAAGCAGATCCTCCTGCAGGCATGCTCACATGCTGTCAGTTGCACCTGGTGCTTTAGGGGATGCTGCAGAAGGGGGATCAGTAATGCTCTGGTGGTCACCAGCCTCCCCAGCTGGCACAAGTCTCACCAAAAGCAGGTTGGCAGCACAGCACGTGTGCTCTGGATATTCTGCATGCATCCCAGTGCATGGACATCCTGGCTTGCTGCACCAATGGTTGTCCCAAAAGAATTCTAAGAGGTCCAACAGCAGCATTTACACAAGTGCTGCTTCTATGAATATTAATGATTAATAGTGTTTATCCAGCATCTTTCAATTACCACCTAATTACAGTATGATAATATGTAGCACTTATCTTCAGAGTGTTTTATAGACTTCAGCTAATGAATCTCAGCACCTCTCTCAGGCACATACATATTATTATTCCAAATTTACAACTACAGCTGCGTTACAGAGAGAAAACCTGAACTGCCCGTGGTTGTATGGGCCTGTACCCATTCTCCAGCATTCAGACTACATCTCTCCAACAAATTTATCAACTACAAAAGCTCAAACATTCACCTGTGTGCTACCTTCAAGAAAAACTAATTTAGAGAAAGAAAACTGTAAAAAGCATTCTGATAAGAACAATGTGTTCTGCTCTATTCATTCTTTTTCAAACATTCTTTTCAAAATAGAAAGTATTCTATTTTACCATTTTGAAATGACTTGGCCTTTCAGAAGAAACAAATGTTTTATGCTATGTGATAGGAAGTTTAAGTCATCAGAATTGGAATGAGAAGTTTTGATTTTGTAAGGAATGAAAGGTTTGAGGCCAACCAGAATATTTCTTTCCTTTGGAGTGGTGTTTGAGGGGCATTATGTTTTATTTTCTTCCACTCCAGGTATGTTGGAAAAAGTTTTGAAAATTCCCTATGTAATGAAGCATTTGATTCTCCCTTAATTTTCATTACACCAATAAACTTCATCTGAGTCCTTAAGTGTACAGGCTTAGTTGTTTTGTCTGAAAACTTGGGATGAGGTAGTTCTGTGTATAAATAAGTAAATTGCCCCTGCTATTCCTAGAGTAGTTTATGTTTTGAGGTAAATGCACAACATCAATCTGATCCTCTTTTAAGTAATTTAGGAGCATAATTGTCTTGGATCTGCCACTTTGAGAATGGTGCTACTACAGATAATGATGGGGACTGATTTGGCGAGAGGTCAGAAAGGGAAAACAGATTTATCTGCAGGAGATTTCCAAATGCCTTTGAGTATGGCATTAGAAGTCCAAGTTAAAATTGCCTGTACAAAATTATATTTATGATATATTATATGAATGTGAAGCTGCTGCGCATATTAATTAGGGACCAAAGCTGCTTTCAAACAGTGCAGTATGGTGTTTAAGGTGCTAAATAGCTTTCCTTTGTTTCTTTATTTTCTGGTTGCCAAGGAGATCAGGATTATCATGTACAGTACCTTTTCTTAAATTAACTAATCCAAATCATGTTGTTAATGTATGTCTGCTGTAAAGATTAAGACAATAGGAAGGAAATTCTTTATTCCAATTAGTATAATTTGCAAGCTGCTGGGTCCTTATTTTTGTAGTTATTTCAGCTTTTCTCTGATAATTTTTATTTTCATCACTAAAATCTGATAGTGTGTGAAATAAGGTGTCCCAAATTCTTTATGCATCACTATCCTCTTCTCTTACCACCATATTCTTTTTGGCAATTGTTGCTCTAGACTTTGTCATGTAAAGAGCTGCATGCTTGAGTTTATCACATCTCTCAGAAATTCTGATTTGCTCAGATATGAAGGGTTAGAGACGTGTCATCACAATTTGGCTAGAAGAGGGCAGGACTGAAAGGGCTCTACTGTACCACCCTCGACAATTCATGGAAGGGCTATCCAGGAATGGGGAAGATTGCTGAGGCTGCTCATTTCTCTAGTTTTCTCTACAGTGATAAATAGTCACAAAGGTAGAATGAAAAAGAAAATATAATTTTACAGTTTAGCAGAGGAAAGTTCTGGGTTATCAAAACCACCAGCAAGGAATGGAATATAACAGATAGTAAGGCCCACTGCTATTTTCTATTAACCATGAGAACATGCCATTGAGAGGGGTTTTATAAGGCTTTCAAATCCTTTAGTCCAGGATAAATAATTTAAAAGGAATGTATGGTTGCATGAATGCTCTTGGAAATAGAACCATGCAAAAGCCAAAAGCTCAAGTTGATGGCGTCTTCCTAACTGTGCTGGGTCAAGGCAGAAAGCCCTTAATCCAAGTAAGCAGACCCCCAGACTCCTTAATGGGTGGCAGTGGAAGGTAATGGGGCTCTCACCCTGACCTTCTCACTACCCACTTTACAAGGGGACATAAAGAGAAGCCCTCCCATACTCTCCCACCTCCCCCTCTTCCCTGCAGTAATCCCTTGTGATAAGAGGCTTTTTTTTCTTGCCATATGAAGTAGGAATATTTCCTGTTGGCTGCACCATCAGTTACAGGAAGTTTTGTTACATTGTTGGAGCTCAGGATTCATTACTTTACAGCTGTCCCCTTTTAGCTGCCTGCAATTCTTCACGTTTTCTCCAGTTTTCTAGCCTTGTGAATATTGTTGTCGCAGGGAGCAGACGGAAGCAGGACACATTAGAAGGAAAGGAGACAGAACAACGATCCCTGAGGAGTTTTCTAACACTCAGCTAAGTTAAAGCTTTGCATTCAAATGATGCTCAGGTCATAGAGATAAGGCTCAAGGTGCCCTAAGAAGCTCTCTGCCAGGCACCATGCTGTGTCTGATGCAATTTTCCCCAGCACCTTATCAACTCAGGTGTCCCAGATCTGCTGATACACATGAGCACAGGTGGGTCAGGTAGCCTGCTTTTGCTTCCCCTCTCTGCTGGCCCACCTAGGCACAGGAAGGAGGTTAACACTGTATACAGCACACACGACTGTGCATGTATGTCCCTTCCACAAGCAAGGAGAAACTGCAGGCACACATTTTTCCAGCACAAGGACCAAACTCTGCATCAAATTCTTGATTCCTTCCAAATTATACGGGAAGAAAATCAGCAGGAATGCTTTGACTCTATAAACTACAATATGTTACAGCTTAGGTTAAATTCAGAACTCTTTCTCTTAGAGTTCATTCCTCCATCATGCTCTTGAATTTGCTCCCCTAGATTTAATTTACCCTATTAGTTTGAGATTGATTGTCCTCACCTTGGTGGTCTTCTCTTTGTGGATACTTCTCAATTGCTGGCGCTCTTTCATCTATGTTGTGATTACCAGTTCCCTAAAATATACAGGTTTCTTTTTCCATTTCTACACAGGAGAGGAGGGGGGGGAAAAAAGAACTCAGACATGGAAGGAAATTATGAGCTTGTCAAACCATGCCAAATTGGATTGAATTAGGTGACAAAGGATCTGAATCATGCTACTTGTTCTGAATAAGTAAATGCTTTCCCCTCCTTCCACTCTCACAACGCTCTCAAAGCAGCAGCTTTTCCTCTGAAATGCCAAAAAGCCCCAAAGCACTTCTCAAGTAACGTGAGCTGATTTGTGTGAGCATTTACCATCACCTGAACAGAAGCTTGTTTGCTTAACATTTTATACACTTTGTGTCAATATTTACCCAGCCTTCCTAACAAGAGAATTGATAGTGTTCAATTTGCAAGCCCAATGCTGTGCATTAGCCATGACATTGACATTGTCTTCTCTTGTTTTAGACCTCGGAGAGAAGCAAGTTTTTTTCCATCTTCTATTTATCCATTAATGCTGGAAGTTTGATCTCCACGTTTGTAACTCCTGTGTTAAGAGGTCAGTGTGGATTTAGAATAAAACAATAAATTAGCTGCCCTCTAACTACTCTGCTGTGCATAGTTAGACTCTGATGACAACAGAATGGCAGAAATTATCTGTGGAGTGGTCAGTGTATTGCGTTTACACCTTGTTAATCTTGCTGTAGCAGCATAACAGATTTATAATACAGGCAGACAACTCATAGAAATTTTATTCCTGGTTGTATTTCAAAGCCAGCCTGAAGTACGGAATTAAAACATGAAAACTGGAAAGACCTATGTGGTCATCTAATCCCCACTGCCAGTGAAGGACTTGCCTTCAGGTAAACTATGGATGAGAAATGAGCTCTGCTGTCCTGTGCAGTATCAGGTCTGAAAACCTTAGCAGGGCTGGTTTTGGAGTCCTACCTTCTCCCTCCCACGGGGTGCTGCTGACTTCTGGAGGGCTCTGTCCTGGCGCTCAGGCTTGTCCGCGTGGGTCTGCTTGCAAGATTGCTGCCCTGAGCAACTAGCCTTGAAGACAAAGCACTATGCCCCATTTAAGACCTACTTTATATTCCAGCCTGCTTGCAAAACCCTTTTTAGTCCCTGAGCCTTGCTGCACTTACTTCATTGTATTGCAGCACTTCGAAGCCAAAGGGATTGGCACACTCTAAATACAGGCACAGAGGCAGAGCAGCAGGCCATAGGTGATGGGGACAGGGTCAAGGTAGTCTTCACATTTAATTGCCATTTTTTGAATTCCATTCCATGGCTTCCAGAAAGCTCTGTTTATTTGGAGTGTCATTTTAACAGGCTCTTGTCTCATGCACAAGGACAAAGACAAATGCTCTATCTCTTACTTGTTCATTCTCTAGTGTCTCTGGGTCAGCATTCAGCTGGGAAAGGTTTTTGCTTAAAGTAGTCAATGTGCAGATGAAAATCCAGTCCCTTGAAGCATCAAAACGTACCAGTACCAACTAGTTGCAACATGGAACTGGAGAGGATAGGGAAAGAGTAATATTTTTACTAAGTGTGAAATCTTTTCTTGGAAGAGCAGGAAATTCAGTTTGTAGACATTTGGTAAATATGAAATATGTACTTTTAGGCAGAGAAGTCCAACTCATTTAGCATGTTAAAAGTTCAGTGTGCCCAGAGAGCTCATGCTTTCAGTGTTATTGGATTTTAGCTAATTTGCTGAAAATAAATGAATAAATGCTATGCATGCACACAGCTGTGCAGCTGTGACTTTCCAGCTACAACAAACGGGAGCAGCTGAGGGCTTCATGGATTGGTCTCCTGTTAAATCTGTTGGCTTACTTTAGCCATTTTAATTTAACATTATCCATGTTAAGAATGCAGTAATGTCTAGCCTCTAGTATTCAAACACTGAGCCCACTGCTGGTTTGCTGTTTGCAGCTGGAGCACAGTGCAAGAGCTGACCTGGTCCAAGAGGCACAGGGTTTCAGTGACCCAGAGCTCAGACTGATTCAACCCATGCTGTAACACACCTGGTTTCCTAATGGGTTGCTGCAAGACCTGACATTTGGAGCAGGCTGCCCCTAGTGAGATTGGTGGTAGTGAGAAAGGGGATTGGAATTCTAAGGCTTATCTTGGGCTCCCACTTACACAGTGCAGGCATTGGCTTCCACTTTGTCCACTGTAGGTCGCTATGAAATCAGATTCAGGTTTTTCACTCAAGACGGATGCAGCACAGTACTGGTTATTTAGATCTAGTCAAATACAGAATGGCTTCAGGTTATTTTAAATGTACTTTTTTCCCCCCAATTACAGTTCCTAGTACTTCTTTATACCTATTTGTCTGCCCCCTCCCTTCTACCATTTGCATCAATATCCCATTATCAGCTGCTTTTGCTGGCAGACACTAACCCTGCTTCCAAATTGTCTTCATCAAGGGAGGACAACTGTTTCAAGGAGATTCAATTCACAGTGTCAAGCACCAGCAAAGAAGATTTAAAACCAAGGGAAGTGACTGATTTAGGGAATCAAATCAAAAGCACCCGTAACATAAGTCTAAATGTAATGAGCTGCTTTTATTTCTGACTTCTTTTTCAGGGGATGTGAAATGTTTTGGAGAGGATTGTTATGCACTGGCTTTTGGTGTCCCAGCAGCACTGATGGTGTTGGCGCTCGGTGAGTGGAAACAGTGATGCCTGTAATAGGAGTTACAATTTTTGATTGCATGGATTGATGAGAAAATGAACAAATTCACTAATTCTGGATGGATACTGTGATGGAAAATTAAAGGATTCAAGGTCATCTAACAATTCCACAGTTCAGAATAGTAATAAATATCAGTAGTTCATTGATGGTGGGCAGACCATGGTTTTCCTGCAATCTTTTATCGTGATACTGTTAAGGGGGTGGTCTGATGGATGTTTCACATATAATTGTTTTGCTCTAATGCAAAGGGAGGCACCAAAATGATTCTCCTGATGGCTTGCAGCTTTGCCTATGAGCAGGCATGGCCTTTGAACGGCAATCTGAGCAGTCCTCAGAGACCACCAGCTTATAGAAGAGAAACTTATCATGCCACTTCTAACCTTTCCACTGGCTTCTTGCAGTTCAGGGCCATCTTAAATGGCTCAGACTTCTGCTGCCGAATCTGTGTGCTGCAGAAGGAGCTAAATGAGATGTTAGTTTGTTCTGAGCTGTCTTTCTTTGCTTGGCTAAAGTAATTCCCACAATTACAGTGACAACTTATTATTATGTTGCAATAAAAAGTCCTTATTATCGAAGTGTCAGGAGACAGCCACAATCTCTGAGCTTCTTAACACTTGCATCTTAGCCCCGTTAATGTACTTGTCAAGATTTCTTCTTCAACCTTTATAAAACATTCGGCAATCTCCCCATTTTTACTGCAACTCCTTGGTAGCCAGTCCAGAGGACACCCCATTAGCTGCAGTTTCACAGCTGCAAGATGCTGGGAAGAGCAGTCCCCTTATTACACTGCATGTGTGAGCTTGGGACACAGCATGGGGTGACTTCTCATTCATCTTATTACCTTCACTGAGAGACCAAGCAGTTCTGATTTCACCGCAGCATCTGGGATTTGAAAAGTTTGTCCCCCAGAGAATATGAATGTTGCTGTCTCCACCCAAATTTCCATCAAGGAGAAGAATCAGGAAACTGAAGAAATGTCATCAGGCCACAGCTAACATTGCAGCAATAATTTTCAAAAAAGTGCATGGTCACGGGCCTGAGAAGGTTCTGTTTTCCCCTGTGGCCTGTTCCTATCAGCTTAGGGCCACACTGTGTGCACCATGCTGTGATGAATGTTTCTAGCAGAGCAGTAGTTACCCAGGGGAAAATGAACGTGTAAATATTGCAGTTTCAGTGAGGGCACTGGTTGAAATGTGTTTTTAGCTAGTGCCCTGCTGCCAGATTCCACGTCCTGCCTGGCAAAGCATCTCTCTGTTCTTTTGTAACATGCTGAAATTCTCTGGGAAGAGATATATTTCACTATGTGAGCAACATGCAGAACTGGAGAAAATACCCTTTTGGCCCTGACTGGCCCTCTCCCTCTGTTCATGGAAAGCAAGATAGATTCAGAGGCAGGTTTAGAGTGAGATTTCTAGGCTGATACAATTCCTGAAGGATGGGGTAGATTGATACCATTTAATTCCAAATGCTAAACCTAGTGCAGGAACATCAGCTCCCAAAGGAGTCAATGGCATGGCCAGAAGGTATTTCAGCAAACCTAATGGATCACGTTTTTAAAAGCACCAATATCTTCAAATGGAGATGGTAAAAATTACACAGTGCAGCTACCCACTCTGGGTGACTTTGCACAAATGCAAAGTGCTACTCACCTAAACTGACTTCAGAGGTCTCTCAAGTTCTGCAAGTCAAACCTGGATGCTAAAGGTCTTCATAGTCAGACAAGAGCAAAGGTGAGTTCCTTGCAGTGTCTCAGGCCTCCTGTATTAGGACAAAAGTACCTGCTATTCTCCACTGCCTGTGGGCTGACCCAGACAACTGGGTTAGTTTTAAAAGGTCAAGTGAATTTATTATATAGAGTTCATGCTCAGTTTTAAGGTGCTTCTCCCAACTAATCTCTTTGGAATTCCAGTGTGCTCAAAGACTCTCAGAGAGCAGGATAAATGATACACAATCAGATAACTCCATCTCTGACAGGATTTTGAAGTCCCATTCTGATATTCTTTGTGCTTTGAGGGAGAAAACCAAGATAAAACAGTATCTTAAATTGTATGTCCCTTTGTGGAAACCATAAATGGAGGTAATTTCTGTTACTGTCTCTGTGAGGCAGGAATCTTTGAGCAGTTTCCACTGAAATGTGTGTGAGATGCAAGTGCACAAAACCTCTGTTGTATCTGGATTAATCCTCACGGGTTTCCAATGGGTGAGGGTTGATTTTCAACATCAGTTGCAGCAATTCAATGTGGATTGTACTTTAAGTTTAGTCTATGAAAAGCGTAGACAAAGTGATTTTTCAAAGTTTTGGTTCCCAGCATGAATCAGATGTGGAGGTGCCTGTTGTGCCAGAGCAGATATTAAGACAATGATGACTTTCTAGGGATCACACTGCCTCTTGTAGGATGTTGCATTTTCTTCCATCTGTAGGCATTAAAAGACTCCTGTATATTTATTTAGTTAGAAGTGCAATTCTGTGCACTCCAAGGGCAGAGCATTTCTCTTGAATACAGGGGTGGGGGATCCTTTCCAGAAGCCAGTGCAGGACAGAGCTTCAGCCATGTGAATCCCCATTTGGATTATAATATTTTTTCAGTTGTGTTCATTGCTGGAAGTGGACTGTACAGGAAAACACCACCACAAGGAAACGTCTTGCTGGAAGTGTGCAAATGCATCGGTGTAAGTGTGTGTTATTTTCCTTTTCATGCGTGACTCTGAGGTTGCAGGACAAAAAGGTGCAAAGGGAAAGGGGAGGTGACTTTTGGAGTTCTTCTCTATGCTGCTTTGAGATGTCTTACTAATGAGCTGTAAGGAATAAGAAACATATTTAGGTCCTAGTTTATTCTTTTAGCATTTCAGTTGTTTTCCCTTAGCTCCATGAACTGTTCAGTTGATGTCAATAGAACCATGAGTGGCAGATGCTGGTGGAAACTGAACTGAAAGGAAAATTGAGAAACTCAGAGAGTATCAGATACATGACTCCATTTTTTTCAGTTGAATAATTTTTCTGAACTTTATCAGTTCAGCAGACAGTAATAGCACACATTCATATTATGGACATTCAGCATGTTCATGTAAATGCAAGAGACACTTGCTGAAGTTGCATTAGAGCCTTATAAATTGTTTTTCATGGTGTGTGAGCTGAATACGGTATGTGAAAAAATATTCTCTTGTTATTAGGTGGATAATGATGTTTCTATTTCAGGGAGCTGTTGCTAACAGCAGATGTTTTCTTTTTATGTAGGTCAATCCTAGTGCCAAATTTACCTTGGGGAAACAGGCGGGATCTTAAAGACAGGATTTCTAAGTGAGGTCTGCCACTTTTTTTCCAGTGTGGCTCTGTGTTTTCAGTGACTGAAGCACACAGCATAAATAGGCCAGGAGCTGGACTTCAATGACCCTTGTGGGTCTTTTCCAACTCAGGATATTCTAAGATTCAATGGTTTTATGATTCATTCCCTCACCATGTCTTTAATCAACCAGTGTCATAGAAACTTCTCTGCAGACAATTCACCATAAAGCATCCAATCTGAGATTTTAGAGGTATCCAGCAACCCACCCCCCTCAATGTACTGGCACTACTTACATTTCGAGATGGAGAAGGTAGCCTTGAGTTGGGAATGTGACAAGGGAAGGTATGGCATGAGTGAGTTACTCACCTGTTTTTCTCCTTAGTTTGCTATTAAAAACCGGCTGAAAAACCGCTCCCGTGAGATTCCAAAGAGAGATCACTGGCTGGACTGGGCATCAGAAAAATACTCGGTAAGTGATGCTGTACCTGGCAGGTTTGGAGTGGGAAGGGGGAGATGGGCAGACAGGGGAGACAGTAAGACTGGCCTGGCCACACCATTTCTCACATGCATTTTCCTGTCCCTTCCCACATCTGTACTCTCCTGACCCTTAATGGACGGTTTAGGTGCTGCACTGAAATGTAGAAATGCAAACATATCCACTGTCACAAGTAAGTGCAATGAAGAACTGCCATGCCGAAAGGAATAGGAGTTATGCTTTGTGGTTTGAATCACCTGTTGGCTTTACACCCCTACCTTACCTTTTTGCCTGTTCCCTTTTAGAAACAGCTGATTGGGGAGGTTAAAATGGTGACTCGTGTTCTCTTCCTCTTCATACCACTGCCAATGTTCTGGGCCCTGTTTGATCAGCAGGTACAGTACAGTGTGTACAGCTCTGCCTGCCAGCCTCGGCTGGCACCTCTGTCCTTTTGGGGTAACACCAAAGCATCCTGGGGACACAGCGGGCCACACTCCTACCAAGTGCCCAGGGCCTTCCACCATCACTGCTGGTCAGCCCTTCAGAGTCCTGCCAGGTGTCTGGCACAGGAGAATGAGAGGGGAGAATGTGCCCTGCCTAATGACAGGTGTTACAGGGAAGGGAAGGAATGGATGGAAAATAAGACCTCCATCACTGTCCTCTTCTCTGTCCCTGTGTTTTCTAGCCCCATAGAACATCTTGAAGGCTTCACAGCTGTTTGTTTTCTCCTTAGGGATCCAGGTGGACTTTGCAAGCCACAAAAATGAATGCTGATTTTGTAAGTACTAAATGTCACCAGGGCTGGTAAGACTAGTAGTAACATCCCTGCTCTTGCTTATTAACCGGAGTCTTGCAGTACTAAGAGCGTCTGCTTGGTGAATCTGGGTGAGTTTCACTTTTGGTGCTTAGAAGCCAGAGGCTCTGTTCATGTAGCCATGTTCAGTTCATCACAGCTCATCTCATCTAGAAGTGAGGGCTGGGGAGCCATCAGCAGCCTGCAATGTCAGGGGTGCTGACCTACTGGCAGCCAGTGGCCCTGTGACCTAGAACAGGTAGGATTTTCAGCCTGCTGCCCCCATGGAAGGCAGACAAGTCACTCAGGCCTTTTAAGGTGTGACTAGAGCTGTTGTAGTTGCACGTTTCTGCACTGGATCACTTGGTGATACATTAATGAAGCCTCTTAAAACCAGCAGGAATCTTGTGTATGGTATAAAGATGTGATAGGGATTCATTAGCTAGTTTCCATGAAGTTCTTCAAAGGTGTGAATGGCAAATGCAGTAGCAGATAAATGTAGGTCAGCTATCTGCCCGAAGATGTCCCCACCCAGGGCTGTTTTTCAAACATATATGTTTTAACAGGCCAGCTAGATCTTGCCTGCAGATGCTCACATCAAAGTCCAGGATTGCAAGTGTCCATTTTCCAGTTTAAAATTGACTTAAAGCCACAAATTTGAGACCTTCTATGTCACTCCTGTTAAAAATTGGGCTCTCGATATGTGATACTCATTAGGCTTAATTAGTTCAAATGAGGCATGAAAAAGACTACACCTTGGGTATTATTTATCCACCTCAGAAAGACAGAACAAAGTCCATGCAGTCCAGGTGATGTATACCTAAAACATTTGTTTTCTGGTGTTTCACTCACATGCACTTAGTGATCCATTAGCAGGAGAGCTAAGTATCACCAGGTGTCACTACTGGACTCTCCCAGGCGAAGAAAGATTGATTCAAGGCTTTTTTTGTCACACCAACTTGGATAGCTCCTTGGCTCTGGTTTTAGTCTCCTCTGCTCTCCCCTCATGAGTTGCCCCACCTCAAGAAGGTGAAAATTTCCTGCAACACCAGAGTGATCTCACCCTTAGGCTTGTTGGAGTTCATGTTTCTAATAATCTATGACTTTCTGTTCAGTGGACAAGGGCTCAGCTAGGAAGTCTGGAGTCAAACAAGGAATGATTTAGTGTCAGATCAAATACTTGCAGGCCCATTTCCTAATGGCACATTTCTATAGTGTCTGCAAAGTAGCAGGAGGGGGTATTTGCCTGGTATTTTTTCACTCTCCCAGGAGGCAGCTCTGGGCAGAGACAGGGAGCCAGTCTTGACTCAGCTCAGGACAGGACTGGCAGACAGGAGACAGACTCCCTCAGCATTTTCTTGGAAATACTTGGAAATATTACCTTCCTAATTTCTTCCCTTCTGCACCCTTTCCCACCCCCTGGCATCCCCATCTCCCTTCTTCTTAATTTCAAGTGAAAAGCATTTCATGGAGTTCAGAAAATCACCAGTCCCACCCTGGAGACAGGTCCGTGGTTCCTTTTGGAGTCTGGGATCCCTCCATCCATCCATTCCTGTTGACCTTGCCAGTTTGTGGGAGTGGGATAGTGATGCAAGTTGAGGCACGTCTTATAGCCTTGAGGACTCTTGGCTCAAACCAAGAAGCTGCAATTGTCCAAAGCCTGTTAGAGGCAGAAGGGGGGGGTGTAAAGAGGTGTTTGTGCAGCCCACTGGCTCAAAGATGGTCTTTTATTATCCTTTTGGGAACTTGGGAGAAATGCCAACAGAGCTTACAGGATCCTGAAGCTTGGGAATGCTCTTATAGGACTGGGGCTTTTCACGTCACAGAAGCAGGGAGGGAAGAAGCTCTAAGCCTGCCTCCCGGCTTGGATACTAACACCCCCATTCTTCTCCACTCACCTGGTTCATGGCTCAGCCAGCCTGAAAGATGGGCCTCAGTACCTGTCATGAGCTGTGTCACACCTGCCAAATATCAAGGATTGAGTGCAGCTTCCTTCTGCAAAATGATCTTATTAAACGCTGTGTCCTTAGACAACAAGTGTCAGGAGCACAATCTCAGCTGCTAAAGCCAACATAAAGCATTAGAGGAAACCACCTTGGCTGCAAAGGCCTCTCTGGGACCGATTATTTATTTGCCATATGCACTGATACGTTATAGTGTTTATGAATCACTTGGAATATCTTTTTGTTTCAGGGAATATATGTCCTTCAGCCTGACCAAATGCAGGTAAAAGATATTACAGCATACAAATAACCCTTAGAATGTGTTGTCTTCTTTTCTCTCATTTATATTTTTCTCATGGGACCAGTGGCCATTCTCTGCTCCTTTTCAAGGTAATAGCAGTGCTCCTGCTGGTTGCTGTGGTGTGGCCTCTGCCTTATTATTTTGCAAGCTTGGGGTTCAGAAGACCCCGAGGATGTCCTAATGAGTGCAGAGGTGTGGTGTAACATACCACCATAATAGTTCTTGAACTAGTGCTGGTATGTGGAGAATACAACCTGTATCTCCTTTTAACAGGCCCCTGTCCTGGGATGAACATTGTTCATGAAATATGTTTAGTTCTTCCCTTTCTGCAGGGTAGATGAAAACATGAAAGCTCCAAGATGGTGCTATGTTGTCACAGTTAATTACAATTCTTATGGTGAACAACTCTGGAGAAATTCAAAGCTGTTCTGTTCCCTGAAATCTTCCTTTGGAACTGAAACAACATTTCTCTCTGCTTGTTCTTCATCACTCTGTTTTCTTGCTCTGCCACTGCTGGCTGGCAGACAAGCTGTGCCCCTCCCAGGAGAAATTTTGTTCCTGGAGGATTATTTGGTTATGCTGAAGTGCAAGAAATTGCCAATCTCACAGAATAGTGCCTGTTCCTCTGGGATTTTGCTTAAGTCCCAAGATGTTTCCATATTTGCTGATTTGTTGCAAGGTCCCACCACAGCACCAAAGGTCACCTGTCTCTATTGTCAGAGGGGTTTGTACTCTTTAAAAACATCATGTTTCAGTTTTCTCTCCAGGGAAACTGGGCCAGTGATGCTTGCTTGCCTCTTGGAGGGGAGGATATGAACAAAATGTATTCATGCCTGTGAAAACTAAATAGCAGAAGCTGTTAAGTGCAAACTATTATTATATTTTAAAAGGAGATTTTAAGAGTTTATCCATGTCCCTTCTGTAATGGAATTATTTCTGGAGGACAGTGCTTTATAGGTTTAATTACTGCAAGTTGCTTTCTAGCCACTGAACTCCCATTCTTTTGTATTGCAGTTCTTAAATCCACTTCTTATTCTTGTCTTCATCCCAATCTTTGACCTTGGGCTCTACCCCCTAATAAACATGTGCAAATTGAATTTCACGTAAGTACTTGGGGACAATGCAGATGCATCTGTGCTTTTTCTTTTACCATAAGTGTGCAGAATAGCTTTTAAGGAAGAGAGACACAAATTTCCGTTCACCTTTCCCAATACTTGAGCATACTTCAGTCCCAAGAGGCAGCATCACCCTCTTCCACAGACCATGGAAATGCCAGAGGGTAAATCTCAGTGATGCTGTATTCTGCTCTGTACAGGTTTTCCCAAAAGCAGATACGAATAGTCTCACTTTGGATTTGATCAGCATGTTTTCCACCTTGTTTCCCATGTCATGCCTAAATAATTCCCTCCCTGCAAAGTCCCTATGGGCCCAAATTCATGGTCCCATGCTCGCTAGGGTCTGAACTAGTGAATGAATAAGGGGATTTCCATATGAGCCAAGCATTTTATCCCTAGGCTGTTAGCAAGAAGTGCAGTGTAAGAGGAGCACACCCCAGGTTGTTTATGAGACGCACTTTATGCATTTTGTGCGAATTAACTTCAGAGTATCTGTATTCTGCCTCTGTGGACTGATGCCCTGTAGCAGTGGAAATATATTTATGTGCACTTTTGGAGTGCCTTTGTCAGTGGAATTTCAACTGAAAGGAGCCAAGTTTCTAAGCTCCAGCACCACTTCTGCAAATGAACCATAGCATGGGAAAGGATAATGAGTGGGGTGATTGGCTCTAAAAGCATGTTCCTAATCCAAACTAAAACGCTGGACAGACAAAATCACATAAAATGGAGGTGGTGGGTGCCTCAGAAGCCTCCCCCTTTCCCCTGCTGGTCCTTTTGCACTGTGCTGAATTACTTGTACCTGAAGACATATCAAAAACTGTCCAGCCCTGCAATAGTGCCCTTTTTGGAGGATACACATCAGAGGCTGTGCTTTTCCCTGATACCACTGTTAGCCCATGGCCTGGACTTGGCAGAAAACTTCTGCCTGATGACCAGCTCACAGAGTAGTTCACCCAGCAGCACAAACTCAAGTACCAACCAGGACTGAATGTCACAACTAAAAACCATTACAAAGAATGGAGATCAATGAATCTAGAATCAGATTTGTCTCAAATCTCAACAAATCAATACTCGGTTTGAATCTGCCATTCTGGACGTATTATTCTGATTTATATCAGTTTTTCTCGTGTAACTCTGGTAAAGTTGCACTTGCTTTGCCTTGAGTTTAGAAGCAAGTTCTTTATTTTCTAGAAATGTAAATGTATTGGCATGAGAAATAACCCAGAATGATGCCCCAGATGGTCAGAAACATTGATGACACAAACTACACATTTTTCTGTTCCTCATTCCCACTGCTGAATAGAATGTTACTTTTCTTTTGCCTTTTCCAAAAGGGACTTGAAGATACATAATTTCTGGTGCTCCTTCCAACATCATAGATTAACATAATGTCATGAGCTATTCCCACTAGAAGAGCTGGGAAAAAGAGAATATGAAACTTGCAAGGAAAGAACTTCTTTTCACAGCGTAGCAGTTTTAATTGGCCTCAGTGCTGGCCTCATACAGAATAATAAAATAGTTTTAAGTTAAGAGATCGGCAATTTAAACAGCCTGTCATCCTGAGTGCCACCTGTTGGACAGTTTATTACATGGTTTTGGCACATCTTTGGCTCTGAGGGATGGTATTCTATAATTTGAATTACTTTTTTTTCCTTAATGGCACCTCTTTCATTTGCTCCATAGACCTATTAGGAAAATGGCAACAGGTATGATCCTTGCAGGGCTGGCATTTGGACTTGCAGCTGTTATAGAAGTCAAAATAAATGTAAGTAAAGCACAAGGCATTCCTCAGAAATACTTTCTTTCCACAGGGTGTTTTTATTGATGTCTGGTAGATAATCCTTTAAGCCATTGTGGTCCTTGATCAAAATTTGTAAAGTTTTCTTTACAACTGAGCATACTTATCCAGTTGCTAATGATAATTCTTACCTTGTCTACTTTTCCCTCTCTTTGTCTCTATATCTTTCTTTCTAGTCTTTGCAGTTTTGCTGTGCTGGTCATCTGTATTGGTCTATATTCTAGATTTCCATCGTCAAAGTGCTTGACAGACATCTAGTTAATGCTAGTGATTAATTTCCAAAAGGTAGTCTGTTCTCTCTCCTATTTCTTGCTGTAGCTTGCCTATACTTTTCTGTTTGGGGTCTTTTGTGTGTGTGTGGTGCTTTTGGTTTTTTATTTAATGGTTTTAAAAAATTTTAATTTAATGACTTTTCTGCTTTAGGGTGGGGATGGCTTTTTTTTTACAAGCCAAATTGTTTCTCTGGGGAGGCAGATGAAAGCTGTCACAGGCATCAGACATTGCCAGGCATCCCCAGAGAGGATGGCAGCACATCTCTTATAAATTCCATGTTAGCTCCTGCAGATTTGTACTGTTTGTTTCTGGCTCATGACCAGCATTGTGTAGACTTTGGCTGACCTTTGTCTCACAAAAGTTACTATAGGATTAATTTTTAAAGCTTCTATGTATACTTAAAACATTCTGTTAGAGTGGCTGGCTCACAGCCCTGGATTAACATCTGCTGGTTCCTCAGGTGAATCCCCTAATGAGCCTCCCACTGAAATGAGACTGTGTGGGTTCAGGTCTTTTTTCTGATCTCTTTATGTGAGCAAAGAAATGCTCTCATTACCACCAGAATCTCTGGCCAAGCACCAAAGTTTGCTCTGGCTTTGGGTGACTCCTCTGGGCAGAGTTAGAGGTTCCCTCTGCCTGTGCATAAAAATTTTACCCTAAAGGCCATTTGAAGATCTAGCAAAAAGGAGGATAAGATGGTCCACCTTCACTTGACGGTGGGTAGCATAAGTGAAAAGCTACAGTAATGGAATTTGCTGGATAATATTAGCAGGCCTGTTGTTCCAGAGCAGCATATGGATACAGGGAAGTTCAGCTCATTCTGTCTTCTGTGGTAGTGTGTCTCTCCACCAAGTTAGGTTCAAAATGTGCTGCTTGCAATACCCAAATTATCAGATAAGATAGAAGAAAAATAAATAGCTCTGCAGTATTGCTGGCAGCTATTTGAAAATAAAATGAGAAAAAAAGAAAAGTTAAAAAAAAATTAGCTCTGCAGGTAGTACAAGGTTGACACTGATTGATGTACTCTTTCTAGGAAATTGTTCCTGACAGAAGGAGATATCTCAGTGCTGGAGGCATCAGCTTTCCTCTCTCAGAAAGCAAGGAATAATATCTATACAGTCGGCTGTATAGATAGCAAGGCGTCCAGCAATGCAAAAGCACTGATTACAGACATGAAAGCTGGACTGGGATTTTCAAACTACTGATTCTTTTCCCAATCACTGACTGCAGTGGGAAATAATTATTCTGGTCACTGCTTTTGAAAGCTAAGCACAAATTTTTCCAGTCTGATGTGGCAGTTGGTTAAATCCAGGCACGAGGGAGCTGTATAATGAAAGCTGTGACATTGTTCTACCTCCTCAGTAGGTGTGTAGTCTGTACTCTTAGTGGTGTGAAGAGCAATTTTTGGGAGGAATGATGGGTTGGCCATTGAGCTACTATGAGGAAACCTCCCTAAAAAAGATTTATGTTCAGTTTTCTCTGAGTGCAACTTCTGTTGAGGAAGAGATGGAAAAGTGTCATTACAGAGAGGAAGATTATTATGGCTAAAAATGAAGAGATATTAAAGTGCTAATAAAGCATACAGATGGCACTTAAAGCCTTTTACTTTAATTAGGAAACCGATATGCCTCGACTTGCCCCAAAAGAAAGTTTAATTCGGGTCCTGAATTTGGCAAAGAACCCTGTTCAAGTGACAATCCAAGACAAGGACCTATTTCAGCAGCCTGTGGAGTCTTTTCAGGTAAGCATATATTTGGGACTGAAAGGCCTGACTTACAGTCATTGAAGAAAGGATGGGCTTTTGTTCAAGCATTTTCTAATAAAGCCCACAGATGCAAAAGCTTGTTCTGCTCCATCGCCTTAGAAGTGCATGGGAATAGCTTAACAAATGAAGCATAATATCTCTGTTACATGAAACAGAAATTGAACATTTGGAGAAGAATTTCCCTGGCAAAGGATACATTACAGGTGAATTACATTCACCTGTAATTAGGAATAAAGGATAACAGGATTACAGCCTCCCTTAAAGAGGGGATAGTGTTGCACTTGGTAGGAAAAGACAGATCCTTTCTTATCTGAAAAAAATGTAACCAAGTTTATTTTCTTCCACAGAACCCAGCTGAGTACTCAAAATTAATATTGAATGGAGAGCAACAGAGCCTTCACTTCGCCCTGCAACATCAAGGATTGACTCTTGCTTTTAACTACACCGTGAAGGAAAAATCAGTATACAGCTTAATTGTTTTTGAGGCAGAAGGAAACCTATCAAGCCGCTTAGTGAGTGTGGGAGTGAAGTGTAAATACAGTATTAATTCAATGGCTGTGATGCTACAATGGGGTAATGGGCTCATTAATTCATTTGCTCAGTTGCAATGTCTGTCTGATTGCTCTCAGATGCTCTAAACCTCACTTCTTAGCTAGAGGCACTGGATCTGTACACATTTCTGCTGGTTGATTAATAGAGGCGTTGTGGCATCTGAGAGTTTCTGGGCACACTTTAATCCACTGAATGCTGCAGTGGGAGAGCAGACTCATGCCTGCTAGGCAGCAGAGCAGGAGAAAGCTGGGGAAACAGAGCCAGAGGTTTCCCCCCAAACATGGTTCTATAAAGCAAAGATGTTAAAGAGGCTCTAGGGCTGGCCATGGAATAAAAGCATCAGAGGAATGATTCTGGGATTAGTTATTGCAAGTGTTTAGTGAAAAAGCACAGAAGGCCCATTTGTTTTGCTGAACAGAATAAATTATTAAGCTCATTTCAGGCTCTGCAGTAGAGCTGGCTGTATTTGGACTTTTGTGTATTTCTGCAACAATCAGGGCATATGGGATGTGTAGGGCAGATTCTGATATCTTTTATGTGTAGCTGCATCCTAAGAAGCTCTCTTGAAATTCATGGTGTTACTGCACGTTGTGTCAGGTGTGTAAATGTCATCAGAATCTGTCCTCATGCTAAAATACCCATTCTCATTGCAGTTCCTGAGCCTTCTACGTTGCAGAGTAGCCACACATTCAATATTATTTAGTAGAAACCATCTAACTGTTTTTTAAAATGAATTTAAAGAATTTATTTTGTCATAGCATCAAGGGTTTTTGCTGATGATCAAGCTTTATTGTTTGGACTCTGGGGCTCAGTATCACATGAAGTTAAGTTTCCCTGTGACCCTGAAAGAAATGGATAGTTGTGATTTTCATACAATCCTTATGAAGCAAAAGCCTGCAACAGGCTTGGAGCATAGCAGTCTCAGAGCTCCAGTACATCTATGCTGCCCTAGCTGTCTAGACTGTGCTTAAATTAATGCCCACCCTGGCACAGGCAGGCTCTCATGTGCTGGGAAACAGCTGTGCTGTTGGGTGATGCTATTGACCTGTCATTCACAGCTCTAGATAAGGGAGATGTGGAAGACAGCGTGGTAAATGATACTTTTCCAGCATTGCAACACAAGGAAAGCAATGCCAGCATCAATGCTGTGTTACAGGGCTCACCCTCTAGTAACTTCCCTCACTGCTGGGTTTGGCCCACTCACTCAGGTGGGAGTGCTTTCCTGGAAGGATCCTATCTGAAATTGGTTTCTTCTCCTCTGTGGGCTGTTGAGTAGGCAGGAAATGAATTTGAGAACTCTGGGGATCATCAGTGAAACGCATAATAATTTGGCTGGTCTGTCTGCAACGAACTAAAGCATTCATCCCCATGCGCTTCCCATGGAAAAAATGATGCCGTTTATTATTTATTGCTCTGACATTTATTACTCACTGTGGCTATTTATTATTTAGGGCATATGTTATTTGTGGGTAGCCTGTTACTCTGAAATACAATAGACACTAATAGATCTACTGAAATTCTGGGTCCTTGGTCTCAGAAACTCAGGGTTTTGCATCAGGAAAAGAAAGTGTGGAGAAAGGGCCAGTTTCTGAAAGTCCCTTTTGGCTTGCCTAGGTTCCATCTGTGGGCAGTGCAAATTGAAATTGCCCTGCCATCTTCAGTGGACGTGGCACAGCTCTGGATTTCTACCAGCCAAGAGCTTTTCTTTGTGTTCTTTTTTTTGTGACATATAACCTCCAGGGCAGGGCTGTGTCTTAACAGTGTTTGTTCAGCGTTGTACACCAATTAGGTTTCTCCAAATGAATGTTGATTAACTATCCAGCTGCTGCTCTAGCTCTGTTCTCCTGGAGAGAGACTCACTCCCCAGTGTGCCATCAGATGGCCATTTCAGGGATCTGTCTGCAGGATCTGTGAGCACAAACCAGCTCGGTGATCTTGGTTTCTCCTGCTCTCTACCTGCACATTACAACAGTTTAATCTCTTGAGTATCAAGGATCAGGAAAAGCTTGAGTGATGCACGATGATCAGTATTGTAACCTAGCAGTTCCTCTCAGCTTTAGACTTCTGTGAAGTTTATGAATATGACAAGAATCGGAGTCTCAAAGTTAGGCATTTGCAGATTTTGTAGGAGTAAGGCACTCAAGTTTAATTGTAACTAGTCACTGAAAGATGCTAATGTGGATAATGCTCTCTTGCTATCTTAAGATCAAGAAAAATACTTTTTTTGGAGGGTGTTACATCCCTCAGTAGAAGGGTGATTGGCTGAAACTCAGCAGCCTTCGTTACAGAAAAGATGAAGAGAAAAGGTATGATCTCATCTTAAGCCCTTGGAGGAGATGAAATTTTGCCATTGGCTTCGTTGTACCAGGGCTCCCCAACTGTGGCCTGATGTAAAGCTTATGTGAGAGTCCAGTTGATTTCCACAGGCTTTGCAGCACATGTGTAACTCTACAGACACCAATATTGTCTGCCACACATTGTAAGGCAGCATTAATAAATATGTTTGATGTTTTTTTTCTTCCCCTCTTTAGATTACAGACTTGGAAGCAAAGCCAGAAAATGGTTTGGCAGCTGTTAGGTAGGAATGGCTTTTTTTGAGGGTTTGGCTGTGGTTGGGTGAGGGAAAGTGCTTTTGTCTAATGCATCTGTATGTAACATAGCCCAGATGTTCTCGGGTTGGAATCTAGTCCACACTTCTCATTTGGGTGTCAGCTGTGGAGGCTTGACAGAGTGTCACCTCCCACACATGCCATGCAGAGCTGAGAACTATTGCTGCTCACTGCCTAGGATAGTCTGGGCTGAGATGACAACATAAAAGAGCTCCTTCCTTGGAAAAGTGGCAAATTCATCTCACTGATGAAAGGGAAGCAGCAATTTGGATAGGAGCTGTTGCTGTCCTTTGCAAATTGGCCAACTCATGATGTTCACCCAAACTCATGCACAAGTGTCTACTAAATTGGATACAGCCACAATTTTACATCCTCATAAACAATTCAGCTGGGCATTGAGTTCTGCTTAGTTCACTCTTCCTGATTTGAGCTATTCCATTTAGCCAGTGAACATTCCTGTGCTGGTTTGTGCTGGCTGCTGTGGTGCAGAAGATGCGAACTTGCCAAAAAACCCAAAAAAAGAAAAACCAAACCCAAAAAGCAAAACACAAAAAAACCCCCCACAATCAAATACAAAACAAAAGCCAACCAACCAACAAAAAAATCCAGGATTCTAGCTGAACTTTCTAGATTATTTTAGCAAGGTGAAATAAAAAAAACCAAACAAAACAACAAAAGGAATCCACCACAAAAACAAAACCAAAAAACAACCAAACAAAACAAACCTTAAAAACAATTAAAGTTTTGACTGGCTAAACACTTTGAAGACTTGATTCAGTCAGAATTTTTTTATATTTTCGTGTGGAGATTTTTGACAAAATCCCCAGCCTTTCCCTTTAACAATTTTTAAAGATGTTTCACTAGGAAGAAACTATTTTTGCACTAAAAAATTATTTTTGTTAAGCACTTTACTAACTTCAGGGATTTCATCCCCATTTAAAGAACTGAAAACCAAAATATCTTAAAACATAGATCAAATTAAAAGTGTTTGGTTTTACTAGCAATTTTCGAATTTCCAGAAGGAAACTGTCTTTTGTCTATGAAAAAACACCAAACAAACTGTTCCCATATAAGTTTTAGTATTGATGTGATGAAGATATTTTATTATGCTAAAAAACTCCTTGCCACTGGAGGAAACTCTTTGCCAGCATGCTGCATCTGCTCACCAGGGTGCACAACTTCAGAGCTGTGGTAGGCTGAGACTGTCCCCTCACACAGCCATGGAACAGTGACCACAGTGTCATAGAATGGTCTGGGTTGGAAGGCACCTTGTACCCCTGCCATGGACAGGGACACCTCCCACTAGAGCAGGTTGCTCAAAGCCCCATCCAGCCTGGCCTTGAACATTTCCAGGGATGAGACATCCACAGCTTTGTTGGGCAGCCTGTTCCAGTGTCTCGCCACCTTCAAAATGAAGAGCTTCTTCCAAAAATCTAACATAATTTATCCCTACCCTCTTTCAGTTTAAAGCCATTCCCTCTTTGTCCTATTACTCCATACCCTTGGAAGAAATCCCTGTCCAGGTCTCTTGTAGGACCTCTTCAGGTATTGGAAGGTGTTCTAAGGTCTCCCTGGAGCTTTCTCCAGGCTGAACAGCCCCACCTCTCCTACCCTGTGTTCATAGGAGAGGTGCCTCAGCATTCTGATCATCTTGGTGGCCTCCTCAGAATTTGCTGAAATCTTGGTTGGTCTCTGAGACTGAATTGCCTGGAGGTTCTAGACCACAAAAAGTGAGAGTCACTTTTCAGAGAAAAGAGAGTAAGAGGATAAAATTATGCAACAGGGAAACTAATTTCATACTGAAAAACTAGGTAATGAATTAGACAAATAATCTGGTAACTTGCAGAAGAGACTCTCATAACCATATAGAATTACAGAATGCTTTGGGAGAGTATGCAAACTCCTAAAGTGCCTGCTATTGTACTTCTCCTCCCCTGTCTGACAAGTCAATGAAATATGTTTTTTTTGCAGATTCATTAATGGTTTGGGCCAAGATGTCAACCTCACCATTGATAGCAAAAGGTTCCTGGCTGTTCAGAAAAATTACAGTGCTTCTGAGTACTCACTGCTGGAGAGGGACATGTAAGTCTGCCTTCCTGAGCTGCAGGTCCTTGTTGAGGCATTTCCTTGGGAACAAAGAGACTTTTCTGAGCCTAATAGCAAAACCTGCATTGCTATTGTCTTGGCATGTGGATGTGGGGGCAGACGTTTTTAAAAACAGAATTATCAGCTGAGTGCAGAGCAGGTGCTCCAGGCCACTTGTGTGTGTGTAGAAGTTTTTATTCACATTATGTGGGGGCATGGAGGGAAGAGACTGGCCATTCCTGTGCATCTGTCAGTGGAGCAAGGTGGGACATGGTAAAGGCTCCTCTGACATTTAGTGTCTGCTTTGTTATTCTCTCAGGCCCAAGCTCCTGGTGTTAGGGTGCTCTCAGAGAAAGGCCAGTTCATATTCCATGCTACAGGGTGTTAGTATATGGGTTGGTAATATCAAGTAGCATTACATGGCTTTGCAGGCTGGGCTTGTTAGACAGGGGCTCCATATGGCCTTGGTTTGGCAGCACTGGAGTTGGCTCTTGTAGGATATTTCTGGCATTTCCAATGTTTCAAAACAAGCTTCATGGCTTTTCTCTGCATCAGCTCCATCCAAAATATTTATTGCTGCAATTTAGTAGGATGCAGCAGCCATTGTGGCAATGATGCTGAGCCTCTGTGCCATCTCACACATCCAAAATCAGAAGAACAAATATGAAGGCTAATTTGCTCTATTGAAAGGAAACAAAGTTACTTCTGGGTCCAGATCTCTGAGTTCCTGTTGGCTACTTTTCTACTTGACTGAAGAAATGCAGCAAAATTTGGGAGGAAAATAAACCTGAGGGGTGGGAAAATATATCAGCATTAAGAAGAAGCAGAAACCATAAAAAATGTTAGCAGTGGCTCGGGTCACTAGGTGAGTTCCAGTCAGTGTCTAAGTGCTTCTGGAAGGATAAGATAGCAAGAACTCCAGTGACTGTCTGATGTAAACACTACTGCATCTTTACATCCATTTCAGGAGCATGTTTGATAGCTCTGCTCTGTGTTCTTTGTTCGTGAAACTAACTGGGAAATACTGTCCTTCATCCTTTATCTAGATATAACAATGGAAAATGCATAACTGAAACAGGAGAGTTCCCCCTGGAGCTGGGGCTGCTTGACTTTGGTGCCTCATACACCGTTGTGATAACTAATGTAAGTGTTCCTGTGATGGTAACACACTCCTGTTCTATTCTCTGGTAGAGCTTTTGTTCCTGTGTTGTTGACTCTCACTTGCTTTGTCTATTCTCTGATCCCAAGGCAGTAGCTACCTGAAGGCAGTCCATTATGAAAGGGGTAGTAAAAAGTTTTGGTACCTACATAAGCAGGGTGTGTATTTGTTCCACCTTACACAGTGATCATATCAGATGCATGTGTTAAAAAGAAGTAAAATACTTTCCTTGATAGAAATCCTCTGTAGAAAATCATGTAAGCTGTGGTTTGTGCTGGTCTCATGCCGTCCCTGAGCAGGTAACATTGACCCAGAGCATTGCAAAGAGCTATTACCATCTGCCAAGAGCTGCCTCTGCTTGTGGTCTTTAAAATACTGTACCTGGTGGTGCCTCACACCCGAAAAAATGCAGAAACAGTGTGCTCTATCCTCACATTTAGCTTACTGAACTAAAGACTGATCTTCCAAGATTTTGTAGATTATGCATAGGGGGAAGAGGGACAAAGTCTTGAGGGAGGAGGTTAGTGAGGTTGTACATCTGTTTCTGCCTCTCACTGTCTGTACAGCTAATTTGGAGCCTAGTGTAAAGTCAAGGCATGGTTTTCTGAACAACCTAATCCTGATGGAGTCTGAGCACCACTGAGAGAGTGGATTCCTTTCCCTGCCTGCCAACCTCTCAGACACACTGCTTCAACCCTGGTCCAACTGGCTGGAGCCACGGAGATGAACGTGATCAGCTTAGTTCCCATTTTAACCTTTCCACCACAAAGGCACACAGACAAACCGGGTCTGACAGGACACACTGCTAAGCTGCCCTCTGAGACTTTGGCTGCTGTATTGTGATAAGCAGAGCAAAGTGTTGTCAGCTACTCCCTGGCAGCAGCATCTCCCTGTTGGGCAATTAATGGGAGCTGTTCATGTCTGCAGAGTCCAAATACGTTGGGGGAAAAATATAGCTGTGAAGCACCTGGCATTTTTTTTTTCCAATTCCAGTAGCTGGAGTGGGATGTACAGCCCTGGAGGGAACAAGCAGATGCTGCCATCTGTGAGCACAGAGATTTATGTACATAAAACACACACACTTGAAGTGATGTTGGCCAGATCCCTCTTCCATGGCTGCAAGCCTCTTTCACCAGATGAGAAACCAGATAGAGAAGTTGCATTAAAAATATAACACTAAGAAAATTGCCCCAGAGCCTCTGGTAACAGGGCCAGCTGAGGTAGATGTGTCCCATGTCACTGTGCCAAAGATTCCAGTTTGTGGTCCCATCTGCATAAGTCCCTGCTATAGCCCTGGCTGCTCAGGGTGGCTCTGTGCCTCAGCCCTTCTGAACTCTGTGCTAGTACTTTAATACTTTTCACCCTCTGTTTTTCCATCTCTCTCTGTGGTTTCTGCCTTCTGTAGAGAGTTAGTTTGCTTGAGGCCAAGATCACTTTTAATTATTGCAGTGATTTGTACTGAGCCCTGCTCCTCTGCCAGGAGTGCCATATAGAGGAACCAAGAATACAATATATTAGTCTGATAATGTAGCTGAACTGTGAAACTTAAATCATGGGGATGCTGCCTTCTACCCAGCCTTCCTCAGTGTGCAGTTACAGCATGGTGCTTGTGACATTTCTTTATGGGCTAAAGAGCAATGAACAGCTCTCCTCTCACCCCTTTTAGCCTGCTGAAATACAGTCGCTTGATTTGCCTCCCTGGCAATGATTGGTGATTAAGAACATCTCGTAAACATCCCTTGTATTTTCCCTAGTACTTTCCTTAAACACAGGGCTTTCTGCCTGAAGTCATTTCAATCTAGTGTTTTACTGGCTTCTAGTCAAATCTCTCTCAGCCTCTAAGGCTCTGTGCATTGCAGGCACTATTGATTACACCTGGGAAAACAAACAAAAATAATTAGGAATGCAGCTACCATAACTATCTGAATAGATCTAATATGGAGCAGTCTTTTCTACTCTTGGCATTCCTGAGCTGAATTTGTCTGGGTGTCAATGGTGTCATAGGGAAATTGTACAGTGCTGATAAAATGGGAGCAGTGACCACATGGATGTAATGAGCATTTACCCTCTCATTGTTTTTTGACCTTGGGGACAGCAGCAGGTCAAAAAATCTGCACTGGAACCTCACAGGCTCTTCCCAGCCCCACTACAGAACACAATTTGTTGGTTTGCAATAATTCAGGGAATTCCTGTGGTACCTGAATGAGCTGGAATGCTTCCATCCTTCTCTCTCTGTCCCATGCAGCAGGAGTCACTCTATTCCCAACAGGCTTGGAAATAGCAGGGATGAGAGCCATTGTTTGCTTAAAAGGCAGAGCTTTTTCTCCACCTTTGCTTAAAACTTTATTTTGGTAAATTTGCTGTTATTGTCCAGGCTAAGAAAGATCTGATCTTTCAGCAGCTGATCAGCGTGCTTTATTTTCCTGGTAGATTTCTGGAGGTGCTGTTGAGATGTGGAAGTCAGAAGACATCAAAGCCAACAACGTCCATATGGCCTGGCAGTTACCACAATATTTATTGATATCTGCTGGGGAGGTGATGTTCTCCATTACGGGTCTGGCCTTCTCCTATTCTCAGGTACTCCACTTAAAGATAAGGGCCTTACAATTAGACTTCAAGATATATTTCTGCATCTGTCATTGACTTGTACCTCCTTTGACATGACACTTACTAACAATGTTATCTATCCTTTAGCTGAAAGTGGGGTTATAACACAGCTTGGTGGGTGCCCTCAAGCTAAATTAATTCATATTCTGAAGATACCTGTTCTCAGTGATACTTGGAAATATCCTTTTCTGATAAACCTGAGAACACGGAACAGAACTGGGTAGTTAATGGGAAAACTCTGAATATTTTAATATCAGAGTTTTCTCCTAGTGAAGTATTTTGTGCTATGTATTTTTCAGTGATATAAAGGCAAAGGTATCTCAAGGGCTACAGGGTGGCATGAGGGGCTTGGCATCTTCTTTAAATTGAGAGACTGAAGGGGTCTAAATATTCAAGGTTGTAACAAAGGAGCAAGGGGTAATGAACGTGCAAGGCATGATTTGATTGTTGTCTGGGGAGGTTGATGAGAAGAGAGGACTGAGACATTACGTGGTTGCACAGCTACTGAAGCTGCTCAAATTTATCCCTGGAGTAAGGTGCAGATGTTTATTAATGAGGATGATTAATACAGTGGGATGATCTGTAATGGGATGTGAAAAATTTGTCCTCAGCAGGAAATTTAACATCAAGATCCAGTCTCTTTTCCAAAGGCACATGGCACCAGACTCCAAGCTGCAGGGCTTGTGTGGCTCCTTGGACGTCCTGATGGTACCTTTTCAGATGATGCAGGTTGGGGATGACCCAGATTCAGCTCTGCAACAACGGCATCTCCTGCTTCTTGATGTGTCCTCCTGTCCATATGCTGAAAGCTCCTTGTATGCAGCTGTTGAGATTAACCACAGATTAACCACTCCACACAGAGGAAATTCCACCATCTCCTCCTAGGCTGAGCCCAGTGACACCTACCCTGGGCAGGACTCCAGAGGGTGGAGCAGGGCCAAAGGGCACAGCACGATTCCCACTGATCAGGCCCTTCTCCTCTTTTCAGTCTCCAGCCAGCATGAAGTCGGTGCTGCAGGCAGGCTGGCTGCTCACGGTGGCTGTGGGGAATACCTTTGTGCTCATTGTTGCCGAGGCTGCACCAATGGCACAGGTATGGTTTGGCTCTTAAAACAGAGGTCGTGCTTTACAACAGGCTTCTGGTGCTTCTGGCTGGCCATGTCCTGGTGCACAGCTTCTCTGCCCTGCACCTGAGTGACAGCAGCCCACTCTGAGCTGTCCCCCAGCCCCTGCTCTGTGGGGCCCTCAGTGGTGTTCCCCTGGGGAGCACTGGCTCTCCCTGACCCTCCCAGTGGCACAGGTGACTGACCTGCACTGCTAACACTGCTGGAGCTCAGCTCTAGGCAAGCTGGCTGTGTCTGGAGCTGGACACAGTGGCAGCCCCACAGAAGCAAAGAGACCAGTGGGCAGTCAGCTCTTCCTCAAGGGTCTCTTGGGGAATCCTGCCAGGACAGCTGTCTGTGGCATCCCTGAAATGTCAGGCTTACAAGGGGAGGTCATGGTGCAGAGGAAATTTAATTCAGGCTGTGAAACTTCTGGGTTGATGCCATGAAGGTGTGAACTGGGGCTTTTTTTTTCTGCCAGCATGAATCTGCCTCTCCCAAAAGAATCTTGTAGGCAAAAAGTCCAGGTAGATATGTTCCAATCAGATTTGTAAGAAAAGATTTAATGAAACCAATTCAATCTGTTTTGTTTCAAGAGGTATCACATATTTGTAATTACATTATGTGTACAAGCATTTACAGAGAACAGGATGAGAAAGTTTCTATCTTGTGAGCCATTTTGGAAACTTAAAAATAATTTTCACCCAGCTCTGTAAAAAGCACTTGAAAGTGCAGAGATATCCTCCGGACTGAGAGTCTGGGGTCTCCTGACCTGCTGTTCTTTTTTCTTTCCTAGTGGGCTGAATTTGTCTTGTTCACTGTTCTCCTCTTTGCTGTGTGCATTATTTTCTCCATCATGGGATATTTCTATGTCAGTGTGGATCCAGAAGACCTAGAAGAAAAAGAAGAGAAGAGAGAGACCTCAAGCAGAGGAAACATGATTGGTCTTGTTACTCAGAAAACAAAGCTCTAACACATCATGGGTTGGGATTTTTATTTTTTTTTTTAAACTCAGTTATGAGAGGATAAAAGAAGGGTGGGGACAGTGTTACTTTATTTTAGAGCATTGCAGTCTTTATTACTCAAAATGTAGCCACCTTACAAATGGGACCAAATAATCCTCTGTAAAAACAATGGGAGTCCTGAAATCAGAGCAAAACTCCCTGGGAAAGCTCCTCAGGTATTAAAAGCCCTTATTAGTAATTGCAGTGTAATTTAAAACCTGCCCATCTTTTAAAGTATGGAATGCTTTCCTATGATTTTGCCTTAAACATATATTTAGGGCAGCAGGGAGGAAGGGTGGAAGAAATGCCATATGACACAAAAATCTGGAAATGTTATGAGAGAAGAAAGAAGAAAAGCTAGTATAGAAATTAGGGAAGAATAGATGTTAGAGACAGAAGGATTTTTAATGCTGAAATCAAGGACTGTAAGGGTTACACACAGCCCCAAAGGATTTCATCATGTAACTCTCCTTATGAGTATTTCATCCCATTATTGCATGTTATGAATGGTTCTGATTTATGATTTTCACCTTCAGGCTCAGAAGTAATAACAGGGATTAAATTCTGCAGACTAAAATATTCCCAAAACACTGCTGACGAAGACAGGCATGCTACCACCTCTCTGATACCCATTTTTTTGGCTAGAAGTTTTTAGCAACTGATGGTTTTCTTTGATTAGACATGATTAGAGAATTGGTTTATGCTTTCTTATTTCAGAATTTCAGACAGTTATTTGCCATCTTCCTATACATTAAGCCTTTATTGGGCATTTCCTTTTACAGCACCTGTCACTGCAAGTTAGGATATGGCTGATTTCTTATCTCATGCCTCAGTTACTCCCCACTGGGAGACAAGTTGCAGTAGTTTCTATAAAATTCCAGGCATCCTGCAGTGAGTTATTTACAAGGATGCACTTTATCATTTTTTCAGTCTACAAGAGGAGACTGTGGCATATGAGATTTTTCTTTTTCCTCCTTGTTTTTCTGTCTCTACCAAACTTTGGATATAGCAATTTTATTGGAATTGTGATATAATTGTCTGATTTTCCTCAATTGCGTGAAGCTGTGATTTCATGTTCTGCATAGGAGTAATTCAACCACTGCTGATCTAGTAAAACTCCTGAGAGAGTCCCTGCCTTCCTCTGTCACTGCAAGGCCACAGCTCTAACAGGTATGGCCTAATTTAAAACAAGGCTGTCAATAGGATCTTCAGGTTCATAGAGAATAGATTTTAAATTATGCTTTCCTCTTCCGTTTTGGCATTGGCCATAGGTGGTTGCTGATACTTGGATTCAGGAGATCACAAAATACATGTTTAATTCCTGTTCAGGACAGTGCTAGGAAATACACTCATTTTGACACCTTAGCTCCTCTGATGTGCTACCAGTGTGTGTGTATCTTCTTGAGTAACACTAAGAAAACACAGCTTTTTGGTTTCTAACTTACAGCCTAAGATTGATCCCTCTGCTTCCTGTCCTAAAGGGGCATGGAATTTCGCCACTAGTTCTGCATAAGCTCCTGCTTGCTGTGAAGGAGAATCTGGGGTTGTGCCAGAGGGGGACCATGGTCTCATCAGATAAATGTGAAGAGGCTGCAGATGTGCATGCAGGAACATTTGGGGTGGTTCAGTCCATGTGTGCTGGTTTTGCACCACCACACCATGCAGAGACATTTATTTAGTTGTGGTGGCTGGATCCGGGCAGCTGAACCCTGCAACTCCATGGGGAATGAAGAGCATTGAAAACCACCTATTAGGTCATCCAGTCTGCTTCTCAGAAGCCAAATGAGGATTATTCTCCTCTGTTCTTTCTGGTATTGTTCTCCTGCTGTGATTCTTTGTGTGGGTTCTTTCTTCTCCAAGCATTGTTGTTTTCCTAATCTCATTTTATGACACACTGTGAATAGGCTCAGAGGCTGCTGAATCACTGCTGTGATGCTGTTTGACCAGCTTCCAACTTGAAGCACTAATAGAAAGCATTTCTTCCTCCACCCACTGCAAACAAAACAAAAATCCCAAACTGAAGGAATTGCCAGGCTCCAGTAACACTGAACAAACACAATTTAGAATTATTGGAGCATTTAATTTTTTATAAGCCTTGAATTTGGAAGTATGCTGTGGTTCGAGGGCATATGTGGTGAAGAGACAAATGAAAATTAGTGAAGCACTTTCCTTGGGAAGCACTTGGTAAGCAGTTCAAAGTTGCATGAGGGAAAGCAAGGTACCCAGATCTCTGAGACTACGTATGCTTAAGAACCTCTTGATTTTTTTTGTTTTATTTCCTTATTGGCGACACTACCAGAAGCTGTCACAGACTCTGAGCTTAATTTAAAGGAATCGTTCCAAACTCATAAAAGATACATTTAGGATGTCATCTGAATCTGCTTTTTAGTCTCCTGATGCCAAATTGCCTCTTTCCAAGCATCTCCGTGTTCCAAACCGTCACCATAATGCAGGGGGAAGGAAAAATTGCAATTCACAGTTGGGAAGATTAGGAACAGGAAGGCAATGCTATAAATAAAGTGCTAACATGAGGCTGGGGGCTGCTCCTGCAGCCCCTCCCAGGAATTGCTCAAGGAACTATAATCTTTGTTCACATTTCTCTCAGAGATGAACCAGTTACTTCTTCCCACTTGCTCATGGTCACCTGTTGGAAGCTTTTTCCTTCTCTGATCTGCCTGCTTGGTTGCTGGTATGATCCTTCCTCACTGTTTCAGCTGCTGTCGTGGCTTTGCTAAATTGGACCCATTTATTTGGAAAGCACCAGCAGTTTGGAGGGATTTCCACTGGCATGCTCACAACCAGCCAGGAGTGGGCTGGGGGCTGTAACAATGAGCTGCCCCTTCTGTAGCTAGAGAAGGTGGAAAAATAACATATTCAGTATAGCACTTCTCCACTTTTAGAGCCACAGCTCCATTCTTGGAGGCCTTGCATCACTTTCAAATGGACTCAAGACTGGATCAAAGGTCTGGGACTTGATTGCATGAAGTAACAAGATCTCTGGGTTTTTCTTCCATATAGTCATCTCAGAGATGGGGCCATGCCCAGCTCTTTGTACCCAGTTTTAGAAAAAATATTCTCTATTCCTCACAATTCTTTGCTTTATGATCACAGGGAGGATCCAAAGTAGGGATATTATATGTAAAGCTGTATGAACCTCTATAGAGAAATAGCAGTCTGCTGCCTGTCCAGCTTTACCTGTCACTGAAGACTCTCAGCTGTAAGTGAAGCTTTCCCTGGCATAGATGAGGGAAAGCTCACACCAACTGACCTACAGGAATTATCCTCTCCAGCTGAGGGACAGGGAAGAGGTGGTGGGGAACTGTAGATGTGTTGCTGCACAAACGTTATGGAGATTGCAGGGGTTTGGCTTTGCTCTGCAAGTATGTGTGTTTATCTGTTTCTCTGAAGGGTGCTTTCTGAGAAAGATTTTTTTGTGCAGAAAATTTCCCTTCATTTGCACTGGCTGTTGCCATTTTTCCCCTTAGCAGATTCTAAGTGTGACCAGTGTTATTTCCACTTTTGCATGAGATAAGCATAAAAATGAGATTTCAAACTCAGCAAAACATCTTGGCTGTTGGTTCCTTAAATTTACCTCTTCTTTCTGAGGCAGTCAGATGCCTTTAGGGAACAAGCTTCTCTATGCAGCTCAGGGGGCTTGCATGTCTCTTTTCTTCCATCTTCCTTTCCCCACAATCCCAGAATTCCAGAAAATGACCCCTGACAGGGCTGCACAGGACTGGCTTGGATCAGCTGGTGTGTGCTGTCACCACTGACTGGGAAGCAAGAGCCTGGCCAGGTCAGGAGCTGGTTCTTCTCTGCATACCCAAATGGGGCCTGGCAAAGGAGATTGAGGCAAGGCTGGCCCTGGTGGAAGTTGTGGTTTACTGAGCAGTGACCTGGATGTGAGTTTTATTGTGAAAGTGAAATGTAAGCGAGTGAAAGGAAAAGTTTTCACTTTACTTGGCTTTGGCCTGAGGCAAGGAAACTGCAGACTGATGTGCAGGGAGGAAACAAAGGGCTGTTTGGTCAAGATCTTCCCAATTCATCAATGAACAGCTGAAGTTACACTGAATTGATTGCAGGGAATAGGAGAGAAGAGGAAAGCTCAGATGATTAAACAGTGGATGACTTAATGTCTTTTAGAAGAGCACTCTCCTAGCTGCTGGTGAAGGACCACTGAGGGAGATGGTCACCCATGGTTTGAAAATGGGTTTGGCATTCCAGAGTACTGCAAAAACCAGCACGAACCAGCACTGGTGGATCTGCACTGACTGGAGGAGGAGGTGGCTGTTCCCTGGCAATGTCCCCACCATCCATGGGAGCCACCACCTTGGCTTAACATTGGGACAGAACAAAAAACTGAATGGTATTACAGATGTTATTAGCACAGAAGGGAGAGCTACAATTAGGGGTAGTTAACAAGTTTTAGCCTGGGTCATACAAAGAAGGATAATTTTTTTTTCTGCATTGGATTTCTTTACTGAGCTACAAGAACCACTTTCTAGCACAAGCTGCTTAAACCTGGGAGATCAAGGCCATAGCAAATAGCACAGCTGCTGAATTTTGGATGGTACTAGACTCTGCATTTCATTATCACTACATTTGTTATTGTGATACAATTTTAAAACAGCATTTAAGAGATGTGTCTGGTCCCAGATGTTGACAGATCTGGCCAGGGTTTTGAATGTTGATAGCTGGATTCACTAGCTGTTGATAGCTAGTCTTTCATGTTAATGTGTGTGATAAACTTCTCATATACAAGTAGGTGTGGGGCCTTTAAAATTCTCCAGCAATTTAGAAAAAAGTCCCAAAGTTCCACATGAAGCTGGCTAAACGTGAACTGTGGCATTACTTCCTTGAGGGAGCTTCCCATGTGCTTTGTAAAGCAGGGGCCCTCATTCATCTCCTGAAAAGTGCTCCCCAGAGAGCCAAAAATGGGGGACACAAACATTTTGCCTTGACAAGGGCTCAGTGGAAATTTACCTAATGGAAATTGCATGAAAGAAAATAATTGCTTTGCTTAAAATCCCTCCTTCCTCACAGTCTCGGGTGGACAAGGAAGGAAACTGTTTCTTATTGAGCTTTGTATCAAGGAGCTTCTGCATCTTCTCAAAGTCTTTTTGTGCTGTGTTTTGCCAGCAGAGCAGCGTTAACCTGGCTCTAGCACCTGTAGATCAGAAGACTGTCAGGCTGCAGAGCAGCCACACAGCAAGCTCCCACAGTCAGCTGATCAACTCTGATCTCTTCATCTTTAATAAATAGTTGTAGCAGTTATCCTACAGGGCTCAGTCAGTCAGAATTGCTTTAAATTTAGGCCACAACTAAGGACCTGAGAGAACTATAATCAACAAGATAAACAGCTAAAGTCTCAAAAACTGCTAAAACACTTAGTGCTTAATTAAAATTTTAATATGCTTACAGAAAGCAAAAATGTAAACCCGAATTTAGCAATTCACTCAGAGCAATGAGGAGCTGTAGCTGGAATCCACCAATGTCACAACTGGCAACCAAGAAGAAGATACACAAATCAAGCAAACATCTCTCTTTAGATTATTTTTTGTCATTGCATACAGTTGTTCAGTCTGCTTGGCTTGTCCTGTTCAATCTACCCATGTGTGTAAGGAAAAGAAGCTGAATTGACTTGCCATGTACCCTTTCCAAGCTGCAGCTTGGTTCTCCTCTTGTAGACTCCCAAGTTAACTCCAAATTACTCCCTTTGCTAGCAGTCAGCCCCTTCACTCCCACATGCTGATCTTCCCCCCCAAGTCACTTCTCACTGATGACTTCCCAGCCCTCAGCACCTTGCTTATTCCTCCACTCATGCAGCCTCTTTGCTGGCAGCAACAGTATGTTTGCTTTGGAGCTGCCTTGGATAATGCTGCCCACTTTCCTGCATCCAGAAAAGCTGCTGACCCCCAGGAGAACTGTGTCTGGGCAGAGACCATGCAGAGCCAAATGTCTGGGTAGTGACAGCTTCTGCCCTGGCTGCTCTGGCTCTGGCTTTTTGTCACAGCTTCGTATACCCACACACATCTTCTGTAGGCAAATTGGTTCAGAGCACAAGGGTTATCCAGCATCTCCCTCCCACCTATCCTGTGCCTGGTTAGCTGCCCACAGCCAGCCCTGGTGTTGTGCCCAGTCCAGTCACAGGGACTGACACACTGCTGTCACCAGCCCTGGAGCATCCATTAGTGCTGCCTGTGGCCCCAGCCTATTTACACATTATTTATGGCTCTGCCCTGCCAGCCAGTTTGAGAGTCTCTCTCTCTTGCACAGAAGTGAGAGAAAGCCATACAGGCTGTGTCCATCTCAGCAATGGTGTGTGCACAGTGCCTTTGCAACCACAGACCTCCCATCAGCATGGAAACAGCAGCTGGTGGAAAGGGGCAGCTCTTCTGTCTCCTTTGCCAGCTGGTATCAGTGGGGCTGGCTCTGTGACCATTCCAGGCTTGGCCTCTTAAAAGTCAGTGTCAGTGTTTTGCTGAGAGCCCTGTGTTATCACTGTGTATTACCATGTGCTGCCAGGCTTCAGCTTCTGAATCTTGAGGTCGAGAAGCAGCAAGCTGCATCCTGGCAGGACACTTTCTGCTCCTTCTTGGTCTACTTGTCCATCCCCAACGACCAGGTCTTGGGTAATAACTGGCATCTCCCAGACCTTGCTGTGTTTTTTACCACTCACAAATGAAGTTTCTTCAAATAGAAGTGAATTTACTTGGAGCTCTTACTCTACCCAAATCTGCTTGGAACTGCTGGGAGCCTTTGTTCAGCTCTTTCTCTGTTTAACCTGTGCATCAAAACACTTTCCAAGCAGCCTTCATGCTGTCCTCACCAAAGAAAGAAACCTCTCAAACGTGCTGTACCAATATGAATTTTTCCTGCCCAAGTTAGAGGTGAAACAGGCCAGCAAGAATCCATCAGGCAGCAGGAGCTGCTGTCTTTCAAAAAGAAGAACTTCTGTCAGTCACAGTGGCTCCCCACATGCAAGGCCATGCAGTCCAGCTCCTGCTGTGCCCTAAACTCAGCAGAGACCAGTGGATGCTCCAATGCCTCTCTGGGGGCTGCAGCTCCCAGTCCAGCACTGGCCAGCCCATCTGTGTGCCAGTTATGGGCTGTCAGTGCCAGCTTTGCTTCCTTACACTTTATAGAGCCCAAATTCTGCAGAGCAAAGAGAAGACAGGTCCCTCTTTCCATAGAATGTGTGTGTGTGTGTGTGTAATTTGTGTGTTCCTGCTCCTTTCTCACTACAGCCAGTGTCATCAGCTGCCCTGTTATTTCAGGGATGGCTGAGGAGCTGTGCAATCCCCATCTCTTTCCTTGAAGCAAGGGGAGGTTTGGGCTTTCCCACTCTGCCCACCCACAAGCACCTTCCTGGAAGCTCTCCTCAATCTCATGTCCTCCACCTCTCCAAAGAGCACTTCTCATGAGACCAAGGATTTGACATGTTTTTAACCAGTCAGTCCTTTTGTGGGGATTAGCCAGCCTGGGTAATGTTTGCATTTTACCCTTTGCTGTCTGCTGGTGGATTTACTTTTGGAGCTAATATCACTGTTTTTCTTTACATTTTCTCCCCAGAGGTTGTCCTGAACCACCTGCATTCTCTGTATAAAATAAATGGCCTTGACTGTTTTCAGGCAGATGTTTTATCCATCTTGTGCCAAAACTTCAATAGTGCCATAAAGAATCCCTCTGCACTAATGGTGTCAGCACAGTCCTTTACATCCCTACAGGAGGATTTCTTTGTTCCTCCTTTTGTATGTGCTGCTTGTAACCAAAGGGCTTGTGCTCCATTTCTCACAGCCCTCAGCACTCCTCAAACTTCTGTAATGCAGGGTCTGAGTTCCCTCTTCCATTTGAGCTGAAAATTATTAAAGGCCATTGAGAGCTTCAGAACCAGCTGGGTTTTGTCTAGTAAAGTTCCTTTTTCTTTTTTTTTTCTTCTTTTTTTCTTTTTTTTTTTTCCACTGTGTTCACATCCATCACTTGCAGCTTGGGAGTGAAACACTGCTCCAGTCTTCTCCTGTCAACTCTCTCAGGAGAAGGCTGGGCTTTTAGCTTTTCCATTAAACCCTTATCTGTGATGCCTTTGGTCCTAATGTTCATTGTTCAGCATCCCTTGAAGCCAGGGATTTTGGTTCCTTTCTTTGGGTTTTTGCTTCAGTCTGCTCAGCATTTTTTAGTTGGTGCCACTGTATTACACTTCCAGGGGTCCACTGACCTTTGGGCTGAAAATGAGCAGGGAAGTCATCCCAGAGATTTTAAAAGATGCACCTAGACAGAACCTGCTAATCTCTGAAAGTTTTGACTTTCTTTTCAGCTTGTTAGGGAAGAGCAGGCACTTATCCATGCAAAAGTGTGGGTTTTTTCATGCCTACTGCATCCT